GTTTTTTATTATTTTAGAATTTTGGTAAGGATTTCATAAAAATCGGACAACCATATCATATAGCTGCCATAGGAGCGATCGGTAGATGTAGAGAAAATGTAAAGCTGTGAATGTAAAACTGTAACTGTCAAAGCATAGGTAAAATGTAATGAAACTCTGTTTTGTGTGTGTTTTCAAAATTTAAATTTATAATATAAATATCAAAACCAATCTACAAGCGTATAAAAACTTCGGTGTGGCCTTTCTTGTTTTTAATATTAATATTGGCTAAAATCGCCCTGGCCTTTTCGACACATTTAACATACAACGATTGGCATTGATTTTAATAAATTTTGACATTGCTCTGTTGAAATAGAGTCCCAAACCTCTTGGAGCTTATGTTTTAATTCAGACAGGGTTCTTTGAGGCTAATTTTTTATACCCTTGCAGGGTATTATAATTTCAGTCAGAAGTTTGCAACGCAGTGAAGGAGACGTTTCCGACCCTATAAAGTATATATATTCTTGAACAGCATCAACAGCCGAGTCGATCTAGCCATGTCCGTCTGTCCGTCCGTCTGTCCGTCTGTCCGTTTCTACGCAAACTAGTCCCTCAGTTTTAAAGCTATCTAAATGAAACTTTGCATATAGTCTTCTATATACTCTCACCATTTTTTAGATATGGCCATTGTATATTATTTCAGAATTTCAATAAAAATTTCATGAAAATCGGACGACTATATCTTATAGCTGCCATAGGAACGATCGGGAAATTAATAGAAAAAACATTATAACTTCCTTGTTTTTCAACCTATTTTTATCTACTCTGAGATATAAGCTTATATTATTAGTTCAGAACTTTGGTATAAATTTTATGAAAATCGGACAACTATATGATATAGCTGCCATATAAACCGATCGGTAGATGTAGAGAAAATGTAAAACTGGGAATCTAAAACTGTAACTGTCAAACTCTAAACAATAAGTATAGGTAAAATTTAATGAAATAATATCTGCAAGGGTATACAAACTTCGGCGTGCCGAAGTTAGCTTCCTTTCTTGTTAGTTTTCTTTTCATTATTCCCCATATATTCTCGATAAGACTTAGGTCCGGACTATTTGATGGCCAATCTAAGACCTCAATGTTCTTATTCTGCCGCCATGATTTGGTTCGCTTGGCAGTATGAGATGATGAAATATGTATTCGCCACAGTCAGCCAGCTTTGGTATTGATGGCAGAAAGCTTTCTTCTAGTATGTTAACATATTTTTCTGCGTTGACCATCCCATCAATAAAGTGCAGTTGGCTTACTCCTTTGGCAGACATACAACCCCACACCATAATGCGGGCTGGGAACTTAACTGTTCTTTTAAGGCAGTCTTTATGGTAGGCTTCAGTTTTATTACGGATCATTACATCAAATTTAGCTTCATCTCTAAATATGAAAGTGTTCCATTGGCTTTTGAGTCCAGGATATCCGTTCCCGTGACCATTGTAAACGCTTCTTCTCTTGACGAAGCGTAAGCAATGGTTTTTCCTTGGCCTAAGAGCAGAGCTTGCAAAAAACTGTCGACCGTTTCTAGTTGTCTGCATATATCTGTCTCTCTCTCACTCTTTACGAAAAGACTCAGAGAGCACCCGTTCATGAGTTCTTGGAATGAGCTCGCGCGCGTTCAGAGCGAACTCGTTTTTTTCTATTCTGCTTTGTTTCGGTTGTCCCATGAACCGTGGTCAGTGAACAAAAGTCTTTTGCGTATGTATTGGAATACATTCACACGCATAGGCAAGCAAATCCTTAAACGTTTAGTTGCGATTTAAAAACAACATTGTCTAAAACTTTTCTTTTATTTTTAATAGCATTTTGTTATATGGACACTTGTTCACAAAAATAAATAAAAAAAAAAAAAAAAACAAACAAAGGTGAAGACCGTTCGCGCTGAGCTGTTCGGTCCCTTGGTCTTTGGCTGGCTCTCTGTGTGCGAACGTTTCTCGTCCCGCTCTTTACGCACGGCTCATTGAAAGGCCGAAGTAAAAAGAGTTCAACGAAAAGCGTTCAACAAAAAACCGAAATCAAGACAGCAAAACTCCCTTGCTCTGAGCGAGAGGGAGAGAGTATGATCTTTTTCGGTTTTACTCGCAACGAGAGCACAGGAAAAACCCCGTCGACAGTTATTTGCAAGCTCTGCCTAAGAGTAAGTTAATCTATTAAGTATGTAATATGGTCTTTCACAGTACATACTTTATAAAACTTCAGGCGCGTACACTTACGCTTAACACCTTTTCCGATTATATCAGACCACTCATATGCTATATTTCGTAAATTTTGACGACGATCATCCTTTACAATTACCGCCAGGGCTCTTTTGTCACGTGCTGTTGTTGTCGATTTTCGGCCTCTTTTTGCGATATTATTTTCAATATTGCCATTTTCATCAAATTTGTTTATTATTCCCTGAACGGACGACTTGGCCAGATTAAATTGCTTGGCAGTTTCTTTATGTTGCTCCTTTGCCGATATTATCAGGCTTTCGTCATTCATTTTCGTTTTTTTCTTTTTTTGTTTCCAATAACTTTAAATATGCTGCCCATCATTTTTCGATTTTGATAGGTAACTCAGGTCTGTGTAATTATACTATTTACTAGATAAATTAAAAATGAATGATTTGTGTTAAAGGAGTTTTGTATGTTTTGTAAATAGCTAATAAAATAGAAAATAAATGATTTAAGTGGTATTAACTAAACAAAAAACTAACCACACGAGGACGTGTGAATTGTCAGGAAGGCCGTGCCGGCCAGTTGTTACTCACACAGTGTTACTAGATAAAAAGTTGAAAAAATCTCAAAAAGTTGAAAATTCTCTTCCCACTGAGTGCATCTGAGTTGGGATTTTACGCAGATGTGAAACTCGTGTTCCCACATACATTTCTATATCTACATTCGAAATCCGATTACAGGTGATCGATCAGCTATGCCACATCTATGAGTAAACAATATATTAATATACAGGAAAACACCAACGAGTTTTTTGGGGATGCTTGCAGCTTTGGCGCCACATTTGAAATTCCATATTTCAATTGTTCCTCTCCAACTTTGTTTACATTTTCGTAGATAATGTTCAAATTTTCACTGTTAAGAAAAATAAATCAGAGTTGCTCCGAAAAACCGTCACCTAACTCTAGCCAACAGAAAGACGTCAAATGTAGATGCACAAAGGATGGGATACAAAATGAGAAGTTTCAGACCGGCAAAACCTTATAGACCGTTTGTTCAACGGACGGCGGATGCGAATCAAGCTCTGTGGGTTAAATTCCATATTATTGGCTTCGCCTTGACAGCACTTATCAATACCACTTTCTCCTCGCGGGCAGAAAATTTGTCGATCCTAGAATTATTTTTTTTCTTTCAACTTTCCCTCCATAATGCCTGTAAGAATAATTGAAATTAATTATTGTTATAGCACAATATCAGCTGTTCGTTATGTTCCCACATACATTTCTATATCTACATTCGAAATCCGATTACAGGTGATCGATCAGCTATGCCACATCTATGAGTAAACAATATATTAATATACAGGAAAACACCAACGAGTTTTTTGGGGATGCTTGCAGCTTTGGCGCCACATTTGAAATTCCATATTTCAATTGTTCCTCTCTAACTTTGTTTACATTTTCGTAGATAATGTTCAAATTTTCACTGTTAAGAAAAATAAATCAGAGTTGCTCCGAAAAACCGTCACCTAACTCTAGCCAACAGAAGGACGTCAAATGTAGATGCACAAAGGATGGGATACAAAATGAGAAGTTTCAGACCGGCAAAACCTTATAGACCGTTTGTTCAACGGACGGCGGATGCGAATCAAGCTCTGTGGGTTAAATTCCATATTATTGGCTTCGCCTTGACAGCACTTATCAATACCACTTTCTCCTCGCGGGCAGAAAGTTTGTCGATCCTAGAATTATTTTTTTTTTTTCAACTTTCCCTCCATAATGCCTGTAAGAATAATTGAAATTAATTATTGTTATAGCACAATATCAGCTGTTCGTTATGTTAGTACGGCGTAGTACATTATCAAAACCCAATCCGTTCAAATTCAAATTTGTTAACAAATAGGTATTCAGGTTACCCTTTTCATGGCGTTTCATTGCGTTTCATGGATTTTCCCTAATTTCTTAGGTCACACTGGTTGCAAAGCAAAATATATAGCGTTTGTGCTATCACAATTGTGACAGCGGTTTTTCGTTCGTTTTAAATCGTGAAAAATTAAAGTATTTTAGAATTTTTAATATAATAAAAACTATACATATGTATGTATATATAATATGTATGTATGTTGTCGTCGGTCGTTAATTGTTATCGAACGTCTAGTATTTTGGGGTTGAATATTTTGTAAAGTATTCCAAAAATGTATGGATTTTTAGCCGAAGTTAGAAACAGGCCTACCGAGATCGCCATTATACAATGCCGGGAAAATTTGCTTTTCATTGTCGTGCAAATTTAGGAGAACCCACTGCGGTATGTTAAGACTAACTAGATCCATTTGTGTGAGGTTGAGTTTTGGCTATTTCAGAATAAAACGGTGGAGCTACGCGCTTGTTACCACTACCAGTCTACTCTTCCTTTGGGAATGGGGCAGCCATTAAAGACAAGTTCATGAGAGGCACGACAAATGTCCATATCTCAAATAAGATGAAAATACAGCGATATATATTTTTTTTTTATTTGGTTAATTTTTTCTTTGACAGCTTTATGATTAAGTCGTCCGATCCGGCCCGGATCTAATAATAAAAGAATAGTCAGCAGACTATCTGCAAAGTCTTATTCGGATAGCCTAAAAACTGAGGGAGTACTTTGCGAAGATAGGGACAGACAGACAGACAGAGGGACTCTCGAATTAAGGCTACTTGTCTGATTGAAAGAACGTTTAGAAAGATTTATTCCACGTATTTATGAACTTGATGTAGACTCCAAAGGTCCAAAGTAATATAAATTAAAATAAATAAAAATAACTTTATTACTTACTTATATTTAAAAATTTTTCTTTTACTGTATTTATCGAAGCTCCTGTAATATTATTAGAGTGCCCATGCCCATGCCAAATATTTGAAAGAAAGTGAGAGCTAGAATATAACAATCCGCTTGGAGAAGGTCTCAACAATTTATCTTGAAATTGCCTCGAAGGGCTGGATGGGGATGTGGGAGCAGAGGTGGTGTCTGACACGGATCCACTTAATTTTTGACTCTTTTCCCATTCCATCACCTTTTCTCGTCTCTCATTCTCAGTCTTCATCCATTGAATATGGGCATTTTGTAGATTTATGGAACTGTCGTTGCCCCGTATAAAATCCAACGCAATTAGAGGCCAAGCATCTAAGGTTTGAGTGGCTTTATTTAAGCCATCATCCAATCCCGGCGGATTTATTTCACCTTTTGCCTTGATGTTTCTTAATGTTGAATCATAATTAATAGATCGAAATTTATTATCTGTATCGGTATCGTGAACACTTTTTTTTCTGGCCATTTTTAAATAACGTTTAATTGTATCGCTTACGGATTGTGATATATCTTCGTTATCGATTGAAGTTTTACGGCAATTCTGTGTGTCCTTCTCCTCTGAAGAGTACTGAAGAAATAAAGACTTGCACTCTTCCGCCAAGCGTTTTAATTCACTTAATTGAATAAAATTCGTTTGGGTTCCTGAAGAAGCTAATGCTACAACGCTCTTTATTTTTTGTGAAAATCCCAGACTATTCTTAAGATCCAAATGAAGACAATCGGGCCTAGGTACATATGGTACATTCTTACTAATATCACATTGTTGCAGATTTATAGGATTGGCATTCTTTTGGGATATTAGTATATTTGTACTAGTATCATATTCTTCAATATTTTTGGGATTCTTTAGGGACGTTATATTGTGAGAGAGAGAGCTGTGATTATACGATTTCATAGTGTTATCTAAATTTGTCATATTGGGATTTCTAGACAGTGATGAAACACTGTAGCTTCTATTATTGTGTTTTATATGATTGATTGATTTTGAAGGTTCCATGGAATGTAAGACCCGATGTAGCTGATTCTTTTTTAATGTACTATAGACTTTCTTTAATAAAGTTTTATCGTCCAGAATTTTAGGTGATATATCACCCAGGTTCAATTGTATGCACTCGTCTTGTCCAAATATAATGCTTTCCGATAACAGTTTTAGACGGTTGAGGAGTTCCGTGTGCAAGTCCGAACATGGTGGTTCATGTAGAATATTATTCTTAGAAGTTGAGATTTGTGGTCTCTGGGAAGAAGGAGACGATGTTTGATCAGGTCGTATCGTTTTAGTACCGAGCAACGTTGTTGTTTTATTATATGCATCACGTAGCTTGAGATATGTTTGCAATAATTCAATAATACGATCTTCATTATTGATATATCTTTGATGACTTGAATGACGCGATAATAGTTTTGAACGGCGTTTCGAACTAAGTGTGGCACCCGGGTATGAACCTTTTCGTCGCCAGTGCAGAAATCTTGGTTCAGAAGCACATACACGCTGAAAATGTGCCTCGATTTGGGCAATGTTATTGGGACTATCTTCAGAAATGAGCTTACGACCGGCGTCTGTCATGTAACGCCATGTTTTTCGCGTTAGGAGCCAGCGTTCCCTTTTCTTCTCTTTAGTGCTACAGCGACGTAGTTTGTTTCCAATATATGATGAGTTGTGGGCAAAGGATAATGACGAAGGGGGGGCTAGTCTTCCTGCATCTTCCGTGTATATCTTTTCGAGCGCGTCGTCCAAGGGTCCCGATCTTTTCTTTATAACTGTCACAGGATTTCGCAGGGTCGAAAAAGCTTTCGAGTGCTTTTCTCTTTTGTTTTTTTCCATATTTTGATATTTTAATAATGTATTTTTTATTAATTATGAAAATTGTTCAATTGCACCATGTTTGTACCATTTGTTAGATATTCTTAATAAAGTTTAGTGATTTAAATTGATATTTGTGTAACTTCTATGATGTATTTTTTATTTTGTTAATTTAATTACCGGATTTATTACTTTTATTCACATTGTAAATGTTTTCACTTATTGTTACATATTTATTTATATATTATTTGGATATATTTTTTGTTATTTAATATTTTTATGTTTTCATTTATTTGCATTTACAAATTTTGTATTCGAATTTTTACTTAATATTTGTGGTGTATTTATTTAAATATCATCCTTATTCATATTGCTTTGATTATTTATTATTTAAAGCATTCTCGTAAAGACAGAATAATATTCCCGAAGTAAGATATTTTAAAGGTCGTGTGTAGTAAACACACAGGCGTGTTATTTATAAATAAATGTTTCACATTCGATATTTCTTGGTCTTTGATCGCGTATATGTATGTATTTATGTATATATTATGCTTATTACAAATCACAACCCTATCTATATTTCTTGAAATTTAATGTATCAATTTTAATTATTTATTTATTATTCAAACTTATGAAAAAATTAAAAATATTTGAAACTGTTCCGGAGACTGCTCAACCTGAGAACATTAGCACGAAGAATAAACGGCAAGAAGTACATATTTAGAGCAAAAACTGTTCCAAGAAAATATAAATATATAAGACATTTCGAAAAAATTTCAAGAAGAAAAATGTATTTCTGAATGTATTTGTATGTATTCAAAAATATGCAAGCAGTTTGCTTCTTATATACACAAAGAATTCTCATTTTCAGAGCACCAGACATGGAAGACTTTCACTGATTTCTATATATGATATGAACATATCTTTTGTATTTTACAAATATAAACACAATTATTATCACTGATTGTATCTAATTTTATAAATATGTTTACATATACCTACTTGGATAATTCTGATGTAGTGAAATAACTATCTCAATAATTTCACTGTTGTTTTGGGAGAGAAGCTTCTGAGATACTTACCATTGCTAAAAGCTACTCGCATACACCAGCGGTCGAAACAATAGAAATAAATGGAAAATGTATCATGCCCCCATAATTTTATAGAAAAGGGATTTTTTAACAATTTTTTTATATTATACATTAATATTTGTTTTTATATATATTTATTTCGTATGTATTACTATAGGAATTATAATTAATTGTTTGTATTTGTATTGAATATTCTTACAAACGCGTTCGTTCCACTGGAATATGTTGTTCTCTGAAATTAGGATAAGTATTATTAGGATAAGTATCAACAAAGTGAAGTTTTGTAAACATATATAAACATATATATGTATATATATATACATATATAAATAAAACCAGTTTTATGTTGGGACAATATGAATAAATTTTTATATGTACACATATATAGTGTGAACTATCGATAAGCTTCCATGTCGAGCCCATACACCCAGAAAAAAAAGAATTCGTTTTTTTCGAGATTTTTATACCCTTGCAGGGTATTATAATTTCAGTCAGAAGTTTGCAACGCAGTGAAGGAGACGTTTCCGACCCTATAAAGTATATATATTCTTGATCAGCATCAACAGCCGAGTCGATCTAGCCATGTCCGTCTGTCCGTCTGTCCATCTGTCCGTCTGTCCGTCTGTCTGTTTCTACGCAAACTAGTCCCTCAGTTTTAAAGCTATCTGAATGAAACTTTGCATAGAGTCTTCTATATACTATCACTGCTATATATGTCGGAACGGGCCGGATCGGACGACTATATCATATAGCTCCCATACAAATGTTCGATAAATTTTTAGAAAAAAAATTATAACTTGGCTGTTTTCAATATTTTTGCATCATTTTTGAGATATAGCCATTTTATATTATTACAGAATTTTGGTAAAAATTTTATGAAAATCGGACGACTATATCTTATAGCTGCCATAGGAACGATCGGAAAAAGAATAGGAAAAAAATTATAACTTCGTTGTTTTTCAACATATTCTTATCTACTTTTAGATATAAGCTTCTCTTATTATTTCAGAATTTTGGTAACATTTTAATGAAAATCGGACAACTATATCATATAGCTGTCATATAAACGATCTGTAAATGTGGAGAAAATGTAAAGCTGGGAATGTAAAACTGTAACTGTCAAACTGTAAACATAATAAGTATAAGTAAAATGTAATGAAACTCTGTTTTGTGAGTGTTTTCAGCATTTAAATTTATAATATAAACATCAAAACCAATCTGCAAGGGTATACAAACTTCGGTGTGCCGAAGTTAGCTTCCTTTCTTGTTTTTTATTCAAAAAGAACCAATCTTTAAATGAGTAGTAATAACTCTCAATGAGACGGTCGGCCTTTGCTTCATGCGGTACATAAAATTAAGATAAGGGGATGGAAAAAACCCGCGCGCACATTATTGACTGAAAGCGGAGCAATAAGCTTGCAGAAACAAGCTTACATTGAGAGCTGAGCTAAGCTTATCCGCGCAGCTCTGTTTGATCGATCAGGAATGTTTGATTATTTCAACAGCGGACGCTGTTTGAATTTTCCTGAAGAGCGCCTAAACATAGCAACATGCTTTTTTTACCAGTTAATTAAAAGGATCAAGTATTTCTATATGTTCATATAATTTAAGTCAGAAGTTTTCAACGCAGCGAAGATGACATTTTCGATCGTATAAAGTATATATATTCTTGATCAGCACCAACAGCCGAATCGATCTAGCCAGGGGTCGGAAACGTCTCCTTCACTGCGTTGCAAACTTCTGACTGAAATTATAATACCCTGCAAGGGTATACAAATAAATTAAAGTAAAAAGCATATTAGTTCACTGGCTCTAGTTCAATATATTAGTAAGCTGCCCAAAAAGGGGGCATTCTTTTAGGGTCCCAATATTATTATTAAACTTCAATTAAATTCGAATATTCAAATATTCGATGGCAATAAACTCTAAATAAAAGTTCACGATGTAAAATAAACTTACCCTTAAAAATATTTTATTTAGATTATTTAAAATTTTTTTTAGCATAGTCATCTCTCCTTAAAACTTGAAATATATAACAATATTTTGACTGATATGAATTTAATAATCATTGCAGTAGTGTTAGCCTTTTTGCCATTGGCAGCACTAGTTTGCATTGCCGCTGGCTGTTCACCTGAAAAAAAAAATATTTTTAAATATGTGCATACATACATATAAGATTTAATATTTACCTGTCAATACATGAACCCTAACTGAAGCTGGTATAGCTCCATTTGGAACGCAAGTATAATTCCCCGAGTCCTTTAAGGAAGCTCGCGTCAACATCAAGCGACTTGTTGTTCCAATATCTGTTTTTTCGGTCTCCAAGCTTATGCCGCCGCGAAGGGAATCAAAATCGACAATCGATGATTCATGGTACCTTTAAATATTTATTTAATTATATTAATAAAACATTTTTTCTAATATTTGTTATTTTATTAATAAATATACAATATTATGTATACATAGAGTCAAGCGAAAAAAATGTAACAGGTATAAGGGGGAACTCATACGCAGTAGCTCTTTTAGAGCTCTTTCCGTTATGAGTTTGGAGAGGCTCCAGCCGTTTTCTACAATTTTAAGTAATATATAGCAGGTATAAGATATAATCGTCCGACTTTCTCAAAACTATCAAAATTTTAGACTAGGAAGGGAACAACAAGGGAAAGTCGCTTATGTCAAAGGGAAATCCGCACTGTACTGAATGAAATTATTTCTTAATTAAGGGGGGATATACATGTAAGCGGTCAAAATTTGGCCATTTTTCGTAAAATTTTTTTTATAAGAAATAGTCAAGCAATCGTCGTGAAACTTTGGATATAGGTAAAAGTAGAATCAGAAATGATAAAAAAAATTAGTTATAAACAATATTTTACAAAATGGCGGATTTATGGAACATATGCCGTAGCGCCTCGAGCTTTAAGTTGCCGTGCTATGGACACGATAGAGCTCGTAATTCCTGTCCAAAATCCGTAAACTAAATTTTTTTGTATTTACTACACCTATATCTTCTATTTGAACCTAAAAAATCAAAATGAAATCAAGACAAAAAAATTAAATTTTGATTTAAAGGAAAAAATGTCATTTTCAGGTGATCAGTTTTCACTTCCCACCCTCTTAAAAAATAGTAATACTCAGTTTTATAACAACCATGTAGGTTCAAATAGAAGATCATTTCATGCTGATCATAATAAAATTTGATTCACTCTGATATGTTACGTAGTTTTTTGTGAATCGTGTCCATAGCATAGGTAAAAATGCACAAATTTAAAGCTGAAAGAAAAAGACGTTTAAAGTTTTTGATGCGCCCACGTTAACACTTGTATACTTTGCTTGCATACTTAATTTGAGGCACTTAAAGTTGGAATTCGATGATGAAACTTACAGAGTATATTCTTTAAGTAATAAACTATTTTTTAAACAAAAAAAAAATTTGCCAAAAAAAAATTTGGTTTACATGTATATCCCCCCTTAAGTAGTTGACTTTCGCACACCTAGGCTCATTATCACTACTTGGTCGACCGTCCACAATGATTAACTAGATTTCAGTTGACATTTCGGTCATGGAAAACAACGAAAAAAAAACCAACATATGACATATAAAATATTTATAGGAAAAACCACCTAACTTTTTCTGATTTTCCTCAGCCTTCATATCAATAGACCTATCGCTCATTTGACAGCTATTTGAAATAATATTTCGATTCGAAAACGGCGAAATTAAATGTTGTCTATTGCAGCAATATAAGAGGTGCAATCCGGCCCATTCTGTTACTAATTAAAAAGATTCTGAAAATGAATATACATTATAGGGTCGGAAATGACTTCTTCAGTGCGTTGCAAACTTGTAACTGAAATTGTCATTCTATGAAAGGGTATAAGGAAATCTATGACTAAATTATTAAGATGATACAAGAACCATATTCGACAGTAGCTTCATACTTGTCTTCTAATCATACCATAACACTGAAGATGCATGTATGTTTACTGAACACGCCAAAGCAATGGTGCTATCACGCTTTACGTGAATTTCTGTCGAGCCCAGGATTTTCGCTCGCGCGGCTTTTGAAGATGAAAAAATTAAATAAGAATTAATACAATCAATTTTCAACGTTTATTATAAGGAAGATTTACCTTTTGAATCGTAATACCGTCTATCCGTTTTTAGGTTTTGAAATTCATTATCTGCAAATTGGAAGTTGTATTTTTAAATATATGTATATATATTTATCATAAATATTAGTTATTCACAAAAATGTATAGATTTATTTTTAAATGTAAGTGCAGTGTAACAGTATTCCACAGAAGAATATATAAATCAAAATGTTATACTGTCTTCCACTCAGTGCATTTGTGTGGAACAGTTGGGATTTTTCACAAATGTGAAACTCGTGTTCCCACAGAACATGCATCTGCGTCCGCACCCGAATACAGCTGATCGATCAGCTGTGTCCCTTCGGAAGCGTAAACAAAGATGGCTGAAGCGGCTATTTAGGCTGTTTAACAACAGCAGAACCACAGTTTGCGTCAGATTTTATCCGCTTTAACTTAAAATAAATTAGATGACGAGGAATTTGAGTTATTTTAATGATTTTTCTCTAACTAAGAGCAAATGCACCAAATAGAGTGTGTATCCCAAAAGTTATATAATAAAGTAGAAGTAAGCGTTTTATATTAAATAGTAGAAATTGGGGAAATTTTTGGGCAAGAATATACAGGAAAACACCAACAAGTTATTTGGGGATGCTTGCAGCTTTGGCGCCACATTTTAAATTCCATATTTCAATTGTTCCTCGCGATCTTTGTTTACATTTTCGTAGTGAAATGGTAAAATTTTCACTGATAAGCCTAGTACTCTGACGAGAAAAACCCGCTGTCTAAATTAGACAGCGGAATCGCTGTTTATTTCGCTACCGAGCTAGTATGACCAAAAAAAATTAAGGAAAATCCTGAAATGCCACGAAAATGTACTTTTTAAGGCGTTTAAGGATTTTCTTTGGTCACACTGGACAGCTGTTTGTAAACAAATATTCAAAAAAAATATTAAAAATATTAATAAATATGGCATTAAAATGCCCTTTGTGGGTTAAATTCCATATTATGGGCTTCCCCTTGACAGCCCCTATCAATGCCACCTTTTCCCTTCAACTTTCCCTCCATTAGGGGTGTCTAAATAAATCAAATGAATTATTAAGACAGCGCGATATCAGCTGTTTACTATCTTGATCTGGCAACGCCATTCAATTTTCGCAGGCTTCATTTTCGTCGTCAGAGTACCGGAAAAAACGACGTGGCTAAAAGTTCTTCTTCTTCTTTTTTCGACACCGTTTTTTTTTTATATGGAGTTTGGCCGCTGTCTAAATTTATACAGCGGATTTTTTACTAGATCAGATTACTAGGCTTTGGAAGAAGAAATCAGAGCTGCACCAAAAAAATTCGTTTAACTATCGCCAAAAAACGGTGGTTAAATTTAGATGCACTCGGATGCGGAACAAAATGAGAAACTTCGGAATGGGAAGTCCCTATACTGCTTTCTGGCTATTATTGAAAAACTAATTTGTTTATGGATTAAATTCTTACCTGTTACTTCCAGAAAAACAGCTAAATTAATTTTTGGCTCGGTATTCACTTGGCACTCATAAACACCGCTGTCGCGTAGTTGGGCATAATCAATCTTTAAGTCCCAATCTTCACTGCTTGGTGGATGTATTACTGAAAATCGTTGATCGCCGGTATATGTATATATATTTGTTGTGAGAATGTGAAGATCTCGCTTACGCATCCATGATACCTGACAAAGAAGAATTCGGATTTTAGGATGATATTGGCAAATTTTTCCGCCTCTCGTTATCTCCGCTATTCTGCAATGGCATACGGCTAATGCACAAACATATTGTGACGCTCCGCGCACAAGAAATGCGATTAAAGAAAATAAATAGGTTAAACTGAAATATGTAAATAAAACCAAAACTGAAGTCTGAGCAGACTTTCGAGTCCAACAACAATTCTCTGAGCAGACTATCGAGTCCCACGAGCAACGCTCTTCACACGGAATGGCGCGTCCGACAACAACAACACGCCGCAACTCCGACCGAAGCAGACAACCACTCTTCTCTCTCTTTCCCAGGCACGAGCTGCCACCGGCGAACTACAGACGCGAGAAGACTAACCGGGACGCGGGAAGCCAACACACACCGCCGCGCCGGGACCCACAGAGCCGATCTCACTCTGCAACACGAGTCGCCGATTGTCATCTCACGCAGCCCAATTTTACTCGAATCTCCTAACTGGAACATTTCGTTAATAAACCGTACTCTTACTCTTTACTGTATATATCTCTCGAGTTCTCCCTGGGGGGCAAACGGTTTAGGGAAATCTTTTACAGCAACCACACCTGAATCAAACAAATATTTCCTGAGCGAACCCTGGACGTCCCGCTAAGCTACCCTCGGACGACAGACCGTTACAATATTCACACGAGCGTTGGTGAACAGCCAACTGAAAAAATTGTTGGACATGCAGTCCATTGAACGCGAATTTTCGGCAGCCTTGAAGGAGCTGCAAAATACAATTTAAAATTGTCTTACATGCCTAGCTCTGTCCGGCCTTTCTACTGAGAATTGAGACTGCCTCCTGGTTTATTTGTGCTCCAGGAAACTTCCAAAGCTGTCATTTTCACTATGGGAGGAATCCACCCAACATAAAACCGAAATTCATACGTGGCTAAACCTTTATTCATTTCTAACGGAGCGCCATATAACTCTCATTTGCTTAATTTTGAAGCTGACTTTACTTTGTGTAAATACTAATATGTTGCTTGATATGTGCGTCTAATTCTAACAATTCGTTAATGTAGCAGATGATGTTTTCGTTTGGGTTTTAGAAAGAATGTTCAACATTCAATAGTTTTAAGGAAATGTTTAACTTTGTCAAGTGAGTGTCTATATCCACGTAAAGAGGCGAATTCAGGACATTTTGTCTCATCGTGCGCTTCGTGCGACTTTTCCCGTAATTTTATTTCTTTTAAACCAATCTCTTGATCAGAAAAAAGCCGTGCTAGACCTGTAGCATAATCAAAAGGGACTTCGAGGCTTTAATACTTGTAAAACTTTCCATAGAGCGCTCGCTGTTACAATTGTGATAGCACAATCGCTATATATTTTGCTCGGTAAACAGTGTAACCAAAGAAATTAAGGAAACGCCATGAAAAGGGCCATGAACAGTTGTTTGAAAAAACAAAAATGTATACTTAATATGGCATTAAAATGCCCTTTGTGAATTAAATCCAAATTTTTGCAGATATAATTTTCGATATGATAGTACCCGCAAAAACGACGAGAGAAACAATTTTTTTCTTCCTTTTTTCGCAGCGTTTTTTTATATGGAGTATGGCCTCTGTCACAATTGTGACAGTTCTCGTTCTCTCAGTACTAGACTTTAAACTTTAATACCCTGCTTCGGTATAATAATCTTACCGTGCGGTTTCCCTTGTTTTTAACACGACATCTTAATATAGCAATTTCATCAACTACAGCTGAGACATTCCTAGGGCTTATATCATCGAAAAAAGGCCGACCCGAATTGACCAAATCTAAATATAAATATATATTAAAGTTAATAAGAATTATTACTTATACTTTATACATACATATTGCTATAAAAACTTACCGTTCAGGTTTAAATATGTTGAAGCACTGATATGCTGAAGGCATATGTTGAAATTTAATATAAAAAAAAGTAATGACTTGATTTTGCTAACAGAATAATGGGTCGAATATGTATTATTTTTGCCAAGGGTCGTCATTTTGGTTTTAGTTCAACAATCATTGTTTATTATTCAAAATGTAGCGGTGTATTCCAAATAGTTGTCCATTTATATATTCATTTTGGCTAACACAAAAACGAATGTTGTTAACGAAATGGATATTCATTACTTGACTGATTATTTTAAATTAAATAGTTGAACACTCCTTATCTGGCATTGTGATAGGGATTCATAGACGCTCTTCATATCTCGAAATTTCACTTCACTTGGGATAAGTTATATTATTTTTGTTATAAGCTATATCGGCTTAGGTGGTATCGAAAACTTTTTTTCTCAATATTAAGCTTATTTCAACCCCCTAAAGTCCTGAATATAAAAGAGCTTTTTATTGAAAACTTAAAGTTGTCATTGCATCCCTGAAAAACACGTCTGCGCATGCCCAAAAAGTATACATATATTTACATTGTAATCTTGTTTATTATTTACTCTAACCACGGAACGTAAAATGTATCAAATTTATCTAAGAAGAACCAAAAAAACAAATGATATTTTTAACGATGAATTTTAAAATAGTATAATAATAACAAACTTTTAAAACTTAAAAATGTAAAAAGATGTTCCATAAATAAATTATAAAATATGTTATTTGATATATTTTTTTTAAATTAAAGCCTGGTACTAACATAAGATAAAAATTCTTAAGGCAGCAAAACTCTATAAAAAAAGCCTAGTACTGAGACGACGAAAATCCGCTGTAACAATTGTTATATCACAATCGCTTTATATTTTGCTCGGTAACTAGTGTGACCAAAGAAATTAAGGAAAAGCCATGGACCTGTTCATGGCGTTTAAGGCTTTTCTTTATTTTCTTTAGTCACACTGGACAGCTGTTTGTAAACAAATTTGTTAATAAATATGGCATAAAATGCCTTTTGTGGGTTAAATACCAAAATATGGGCTTCGCCTTGACAACACTTAACAATGCCACTATTTCCTCGCGGGCAGAAAATTTTTCAGTCCTACAATTATTTTTTTCCTTCAACTTTCCCTCCATAATGCCTCAAATAGGGTCTTTTCACAGAGCGTCAAACCGCATTCACCGTCCGTTGAACAAACTGCCCATTAGGTTTGTTATTCCGAAATATCTCATTTTGTACCGCATCCGAGTGCATCTAAATTTAACCACCGTTTGTTGGCGATAGTTAGGCGATAGTTAATCGGTGCAACTCTGATTTCTTCTTCTTAAAGCATTGTACTCTGACGACGAAAATCCGCTGTAACAATTGTTATAGCAAAATCGCTAAAAATTTTGCTCGATAACCAGTGTGACCGAAAAAAAATAAGGAAAGTCACACTGGACAGCTTTCTGTAAACAAATTTGTTAATAAATATGGCATTAAAATGCCCATTGTTAGTTAATACTGTCTTCCCACTCAGCGCATTTGTGAGGAACGGTTGGGATTTTTCCCACAGAGCTTGCATCTGCATCCGCATCCGATTACAGCTGATCGATCAGCTGTGGCTCATGAAAACGTAAACAAAGATGGCTGAAGCGGCCGATGTGGGAGTAATATGAATAGTTTATCAACTATTTCGGCTGTTTAACAACAGCAAAAGCACAGATTGCGTCAGATTGTACGGCACTAAATTAATATGAATTAGATGACGAGAAATTTGAGTTTCTCTAATGAGCTTCTGTACGGGGTATCTCACAGTCGAGCACACTCAGCAGTAGTTTTCTTACTAACTTGCCATTCCCTTTGCAAATGTGCAATACAAATTAAATAGAAATGTCGATGTAATATCATTTATATTATTTTTACAGATCCCAAAACAAACAAACAAACAATAAATATAGGTACATTTAAAACATGTTTATGGTAATATGTCGCAAATCGTTAAGTTAATGCTCGACGCCTCGCCTTCTCGGCCATCTCTCCTTAAAAATCCGAATATGGCACTTCGGTATACGGTAAATTTCTAGACACAGTTGCCGGCGGTATATATTGACACGAATAGGTCTGTTGATGTTGCTTGCTTTGGACTTCGCCCCAACCTCTGGCTAATTTATTGAAGGATTGACCTTGGTTCGATTGCCGGTGGCTGGAAGCATTGTTTAGATTATAAGGTTGCGGTGATGCTCCTTCGATAGGGCTAGTCCAACTAATTGGTGATCGAGGTAAATTTTCATTGAAAGAGGTGCATTTTGATGTGCCAAATGGTATGGGAGATGCATTCTGCACTTGCGTCTTTTGACGAACATTTAAGTGTTGTTGTTGATTCTGGTTATCGTGATTATTTTCGTACCGCGACAGTTTATCAAAGGATAATGGCGATGGATTAAAGTTGACCTGTGGAGCGATATTGTTTATGGGCTGCGAAGAAAAGGAATGCTGTTCCTTTGGCACTGACGTTGTGTACCCTAATGGATTAGAGTTAGACAGTGGAAACCTTCCATTTGAGAACTGTGTATCAGCTGAAACTCCAAAATTTGATTTTGGCATGTGTCGAAATGTGGATTCGTCTTTTTGAGATAAAGTAAATGACGGTTGCTTTTGCGGTGGTGGAACATAGCTCGATAGGGATATTTCCTTGGGTACATATAAACCTGTAGATTAATAAATTATAATATTAATTAGTATTATTTTAAATAATCAAAACATTTAACAAAACATTTTCACATGTAAATTTATTCCAACGCGGTCCACTGCCCGCTGAGAACTACAAAAACAAAACATATCGACACACATGCTTATGTGAATGTGCATATATTACAAAAACATATAAGTAAATGTTTAGCCCAATTACAATGGTTGCGTTCAGCAATGTGTTTTGATGAACACTAAGGATACATTACGCGGTCGTAAAAATAATCGGCTTGGAACTTGTCAGTTAGAGAAATTTTATATAATTTAATGGCAAACAATATCGACTATGTCTTCGCGATATATTCGGCCGATTGATATTGATATGCGCCAAATTAAAAATTAAAAAGTTACTGCACTACGAGCTTATTATAAAAGCATTAAGTTTTTAAGTTTGATCTCAGGTCAGCATTCCAGGTTAGACCATGGAGAGCTAACAGTAAAAAGTTGTTTTGAACAGATTCAATGCGGTTAACATGGACTCCAAATTGAGGACTTGAGACGCAAGGACCATACTTCAATACTACTAACGAAGTAAAAAGAGTTTTCGTTACATAAGGGGAATCGAATTCCTTCGACCACCTTTTAATAAAACCGAGCATGCCTCTGGCTTTATTAACCATCCAAGAAATATGTTCAGAGAACGAAAGTTGAGGCTCTAGGCGGACCTTTGAGTCCTGTCACTTAAATAACTCAAAATCCATTTATGAAGATCGATATGAAGTCCAATTAATTAATTTCTTACAAAAAGAGAATGATTAACCAAGTCAAAAGGTTTACTGGAGTCTGGGTAAGTCCCATCGGTTTGAAGGCTAAGTTGGAAACCCATAATAAAATATGGGATAAGTTCCAAGATATTTGTAGTTGTCGATCTAGGCCTCCTAAATCCATGCTGGCGTTCGATTTGCTACCTTTTTTTGTGGAGAGGAATGATAAATCCTTCAAAATATGGGGAAATACTGAGGTTTCTAAAGATCTGGTACGCAATTTAAGAAGGGGGTTGCACAAAGGCTCAGCACAACACCTGAGCACGCAGCCCGGTATTCCATTGGGACCCGGTAAATAAACTTGTTTTACACGTTGAAGATTCAAACTAAGGGAGCTTTCGTTTAAAATAGGACTGAACATTAGATTCAAACTAGGCATGGCAAAAGAGGAAAAGAGTATGTTGTTTAAAAAAACTCAGCATAAAAATCAGAGCTTGCTGTAGTATTATTAAATGAAAGGGGGAAGGATATATGTTAGGTTTACGTTTAGTGTTAAATAAATTTTGAACTTCCTGCGTGAACTCATCCCTACAGCGAGTTACATAATAATTATAATACTGAGCGTTAAGCACGGACAATTTTGACCGACTGAGAAAACTAAAGGAAACAGTTTCAGAGCCCATGAGCTTGTATTTGTTATACAGCCATGTTTTTAGGCGGTCAGCTTTTTAGAGAACCAAGAAGGTTTGTTGGCGACCGAACGAAGAAGAAATCTGTTGGTGATCAGTGATCACGTTTTTTTGCTGAACGCAACCAATAACGTATTTTACCTATCGAAAGAATAAGCCAAAATGCAGAATGATCGTTATGAATGGATATAATAGATGTTTAAGTTGGCTAGGTTTTGGTATTCTGGCTATTTTTGTGTAAACATTTATCCACATTTAACTGTTGACCATATGCTAAACCAATGTACAAAATCGTAAAGTTTTTTCCTATTTTTTATGTAAACATTTATTCTCATTAATCTCTTGCCTTCATTTTTGTTAATTGCATCCTCATCGTTTGAACTATTTTTTGAAGTTTCTCCTAAGGACTGTTGCTCGAAGGAGTGTATCAACTCGCGCACATTTAGTTTGTCATCTATTTCTATATTTTTTTTGCTCAGGTTACCAGCCAATTGTTGATGTTGCTGTTCTAAAAAGAACATTTGAATTTGTTCAAGTCGATTCAATCGTTTTTCAATATCATTTGTAAAAGTGGCAGACAATCCTTCGCCTTTTGCGTATAAAAAATCCATATTTTCGCGGTCATACCTTGTGCGGCAAAAGTCACAACTCTGGCAAGGAAGCACATTAACTTCATTTGATTCACAATATTCTGAAAATGTTTCAGTAATAACTACAAAATGTGACTTAAAATATAATAGGGAGGAACTATTGCCGGTTAATATACTACAACTTATCCTAATAGCCCGATTCCATTGCAACATATCACATTTTGAATGATTCCAAAATCCAGAATATCTTAGCTTTGAGTTCCTGAGATTTGTATTTTAAAGCCTAGTACCGAGAGAACGAAAATCTGCTGTCACAATTGTGACAGCGGCCAAACTCTATATAAAAAAAAGCTGCGAAAAAAGGAAGAAGAACTTTTCCCTCGTCGTTTTTGCTGGTATTGACATATCGAAAATTATACCTGCCAAAATTGTAAGGAGTTTCCAGATCAAGGGAGTAAACAGATTGTGCTGTGTCAATAATTAATTTTAATTATTTTTACAGGCATTATGGAGGGAAAGTTGAAGGAAAAATGGCACTTAAAAAATATCGTTAAGTGATATATATTGCAGTGGTATCGCACTATTTAATGTATATATTATCAATTCAAATTATTTTAAACAATTACTAAATGAAATACATACCCTTTGGCAACTCCACACTCCGACCTCCCCAGCCCTGGGCTACGCTTGGCGTATAAGCCAACACTCTTTGTGGATTCGAGGGTATTGGTGCAGTGCTTTTCTGTAAGATATAAATATGTTATGTTAAATTAACATATACTTTGTATATTACATTTCTATAGGGTTCCTCTCTATGCTGTTGTTGGTTGTTCGTTAATCCAATATCATAAGAAGGCTTTACTGTTGCATCTGGCAAATCTCTGGGCACGCTTTGTCGATGATACATCATTGGCGATGACACTGAAGGACATCGAACTTGGTCTGGGGACTCCTCAAGAAATGCGGAACTGGCGGAGCCAGTCTGCAGAGCGGCCTCCCACGGCGACTTGACTACCTGCACTCCGCCCTTTGAATACTTTTCAATTAGCTGATTTTGATGCAAATTCAATTGAACACGATGTTTGCCAGCATCCGAATATGCTGGTAAAATGTTTGGCGATATTGTCTTTTGCCGCGGTTGATACTGCTGATAATCTGGAATACCAGATGGTAGACTTTGAGTTCCAGCATTCGTTTCATCGACAATCCAGTTATCTGCTTTTTTGCGTCGCTTTGCAAATAGTTCGGCGCCTACGAAAAAGTCAGCGAAATGATGGTTGCGGCGGGGCGACGGCAAGAAGCACAGCAAATGAGTTTTTAAAGAAAAAAAAAGTTCTTACTATTATTATTAATAAGACTAAGCAGAAAAGTAATTTGCAAATTAATACAAAATTCCATTATCATGCTTACAAATAAAATATATCCATGAGTAGATATGGGTAAAAATCAAATCGCAGCGCATTCACGCATGTTCTGTGAGTGATTTTGAAAATGCTAATATATACATATCTTAATTTTTAAAAAACCAAGCAGATCAATTCACTTTAAGGCTGGTACTGAGAAAATACTGTAAAAATTCTTCTATCCGCAAATCTCCACATACAAAACGCAGCGAAGAGAAAAGGTAGAACATTCTGATGGCTCAAACTCAAAACAAAGATTTTTGAGATTTCCTCTTAAAATAATTCAATCGAATTATTTTTAAAGCATTAAAATTGAGGTGAAAAAATATTTATTTTGATTTCACTTTATAAGGTTTGTTAAAATAAAAACAGATGGAAATACCAGGAAGTGTGACCCTTTCTTAAATTTCTTTGGTACACTGGTTCCCGACCCGAATATTGAGCAATTTTAACAGCAGATTTATATTATATTGGTAATGGAATTTTGTGTTATGAATATTTTACCTCGTCCTTGGTGTAGTTGCAATGCAGTTATTAGCTCAGCGCAGTTGTCAGGCGATAAAAGGCCAGTTTCAACATTAATTAACTCTTTGAGCGAATTATAATCACGAACTTGGCCTTTCGGATTCATTACAAGCTTAAGCGGCATTTTCTCCAACTTGGTTGTAGCTTCAAATAATGATGGGGAATTTGTTTCGCAATTGTCTTTATATAAAGAAATTGTAAAATTATGTATGTTATTATTCCCAAAATACATCATATGTATATAAACTTTAAAAACAGTGAACATGTAATCAATCAATGATAAGTCTCAGAAAAATTTGTCTTACATTGTAATTAAAATTAAAATTTACAAGAAAGGAAGCTAATTTCGGCACGCCAAAGTTTATATATCCTTGCAGTTGTCAGTTGGATTAAAACAACGAGGAAAAATTAATAATCAGTTTACGGTACTACACTACGATATGGGTTCTAGATGTCAAGTCGAGGAACGTGGAAATTGAGCTGCTCTAGAAGATAGGGGCTCTCAACATCACCGTTTATTGAGTTATGAAGAAATACGACACCAGGCATTATTCTACGGTTAGCTGGGAAGGTTAAGTTAATTAATATAAGTGTACTGGAATAAGCCGGAAGTCTCTCGTCAGTATGCCAGAGTAGGCCACGGAGGGCGAAAGGTAAAAAGTTCTTATGTACCGTTAATATGGACTTCAAATTGAGGACTCCAGACGCATGATAGGGCGTACTTACGAAGTAAAAGAGCCTTCGTTACATAATCGATTTCCTTCTACTACCTCTAAATAAAAACAAGCATGCCTTTGTCTTTATTAACCATGCATGAAATATGTTCAGAGAGCGAAAGTTTATGGTCTAAGCGGACAATACTTTTAAATTTAATAAATAACAATATTTTAAATTTAAAATAGTAAATATAATTTAAATTATAATTATATATTCTGAATAAAAACCGAAGTTCTGTTCAAATTGGTCATGTCTTAGAGAAAATGAAAATATGGTGAAAGACAGTGAAGTTATAAATTTTGTCCTAAATACTTTCCGATTCTTTGTATGGCAGCTATATAATTCGGAGCGTTCCGATAACCATGTATAGTAGTGAGAAGAGTCAGAAGACTATTTGCAAACTCCTGACTAAAATTATAATGTTCTACAAGAGTATACAAATTGGTAAATGTGGAGGAAAATTAAAAACTATATGTGTAACTTTAAAGCTTTAAAGCATAGATAAATGTAATGTGAGTTGAAATTACTTCGTTGTTTTTATACATAGGAATTTAAATTATATTATATATTTCAACCCTGAGATAAAGTTATTTTAAATAATGATGCTTTGCATTTCATCGAAATTTAATTATATTATATTTATAAATGTTTTATAAATCCCATGTTGTTTTTCCATTTTATTTGACCAATATTGATCGATTCTTAATGATCCAATTGCAAACTGGAAGTTAGTGGCCGAAGTTAGCTTAATTTGTTGTATTTTAGTTCAAATTACATTTTTTATTATAAAAAATTGACCTTATAAAAATATTCTGGGTATTTGTTGACGACTCAATTATAGGGTCCTCCACAAAGCTTGCATCTGCATTCACCGTCCGTTGAACAAACGCCCATAAGGTTTTGCCGTTCCGAAATTTCTCATTTTGTACCGCATCCGAGTGCATTTAAATTTAACCACCGTTTGTTGGCGATAGTTTATCGGTGCAACTCTGATTTTTTTTTTCTTAATAGTGAAAATTTGACCATTCACTAAGAAAATGTAAACAAAGATGGCGAGGAACAATTGAAATGTGGAATTTAAAATGTGTCGCCAAAGATGCAAGCATGCCCAAAAAAGTCGTTGGTTTTCCTGTATATTCTTGTCCCCAATTGCTACTATTTAATACAGGGTGACAATAAATAACCTGGACAAATATTGAAGCAATCGATTATAAATGTGTTATGATGCAGTCCTTAAATAAATGCATTTATTGATAGCTTGTACTTTTCTGAAACAAATATACATATTTACATTTTTGTGATTTCCATCAATTTGATATTTGTTTCGGGATGTCTAACAATCGTTGTGCAATTTTAAAACTGTTTCAACAAGGAAATCGCCATTGTTCGTGTGTTTGGCATACCAAAACAAACGATCTCTGACGCTATCCGACGATTTAATGAGCTTGGCCATGAAGATGACCGTCCCGGACGAGGCAGTCCATGCACCGCTAAAACTTCCAGAATTCGCCAGATAGTGAAAAAGCGGATCACTCGGAATTGCAGAGTCTCGGTCAGAAAAATAGCCCGTGAAATCGGAGTGAATCGAGAAAATGTTCGGTTGATTGCAAAAAATGAACTTAAGGGTCCATTCTGGTTAATAAAAAAAAAAATCGAATTTTTTTGTTGCATTTTTTTATAGTTATAAGTGTCTAGAATATTATACTAAAACGGCAAATCGAAATACGAAATAGTTTAAAAGTTATGAGCCTCCGAGCCGGCCGACTTAAAGGAGGTACAGAGCAAACATAAAACTTTAAACGCGTTTTCTGGAAAACTACATTTTTCGAGCTGGCTACCGTCCTATCTCATTCAATTTTTAATGAATCTTAATGTTTTTTTTTAATACGCGTAATGAAGCTGTCCATGGAATAGACTAGAATTATATTGATAGCTTATACATTGGATTTTTAATCAACAAAAAAAGTGAAGAAAATTTTCACGAAAACGAAAAAAAAATTTTGAATCGCAGCCGTTTTTTTTATTTTTTATTAAATTTTTTAATTCTAGTCTTACTAAACAAGAACATCTTTGAATTACTTGTTTCAGTCGATTTTTACGTCCTGCAGGACGGTCGCCGAGGAGTTCCTTTTTTTGGCATGGGCTTACGTCTAAAAATTTAGAAATTTTTGCTAAATCATCTTTAAACTATGATAAATATATGTGAAGAGTTTGAACTATGTCTTTTCCATAAAAAATTCCTGAAAATTGCCTACTTTTTGGCCCAACTAACCAGAATGGACCCTTAATCTCAAGCCCTACAAGCTCCAAAAAGTGCAGCTTCTTACGGATGACAATAAGCGCGTGAGACTCCAAAGATGCCGTCAGCTATAGCGTCGGGCCGCAGATAAAAAATGGGAGCATATTCTCTTCACGGACGAGAAGATATTCACCATTCAACAGGCGCACAATCACCAAAATGACAGAAGCTGGTCGGCTGGAGCTCCAGGTACCTCCGCAATAATCGAGCGCCGCCAATGTGAGCAGTGTTTAATGGTTTGGGAAGGAATATGCGCCACCAGCAAAACACCCCTTGTTTTCATCGATCAAGGAAGTATACCGCCGGGACATTTTGGAAACTGTTGTGCTTCCTTGAGCCCAGCAGCACTTCGGTGATACGGAGTGGACGTTTCAACAGGATTCAGCGCCAGCCCATAGAGCCAAATTGACTCAGGACTGGTGCAAAGCCAATTTTCCGCCCTTTATCACATCCAGTGAATGGCCACCTTACTCGCCAGATCTTAATCCGATGAACTACAGTGTGTGGTCTATTTTGGAGTCCAGGGCATGTGCTAAACGCCACATAAGTTTGAAGGCGCTGAAGCAATCATTGCTCCAAGAATGGGATCCATTATCGGAAGAAGACCTGCGGCCCATTGCGCTAAATTTCCAGAAACGTTTAGGGCTCTGCATCGCAGCCCAAGCAAGCCACTTCGAAACCGGCTGAATATATGTTAACACAATACCTATTTAATAGTTGTGTATCTGCATTTTTTCTCAAATACAGTTCCTTAAAAAGTTATGATCAAAAATGTTTGTCCGGGTTATTTATTGTCGCCCTGTATAAACCGCCTATCTCTACTTTATTTTATAGATTTTGGGAGCCTTTACCACCATACGCAACCTTTCGGGGCATTTGTTCTTTATTAGAGAAAAATTCAAATTCCTCGACATCTAATTCATATTAATTTTGGGCGGATTAAATCTGACGCAATCTGTGGTTTTGCTGTTTGTTAAAAAACTAGTTGATAAACTATTCATTTACTCTCATATCTGCCGCTTTAGCCATCTTTATTTACGTTTCAGAAGGGGCACAGCTGTAATTAGATGCGGATGCAGATGCAAGCTCTGTGGGAACACGAGTTTCACATTTGTGAAAAATCATAACTGTTCCACAGAAATGCACTGCATAATTAGCCTATATTTTCAACTGAAAAAAACCGTTCTCATAAAAACTGCTGAAAATATCGGTAATGCAACGCAATTGTAAGCCTATATTTTCAAAATTTTGTAGGGCAACAGCTATTTTTAAATGAAAATATCGGCTAACTAACGCTAACTATCAGATAATTCAGTGGTCAAGGGGAATACCCTGACGAATAAAGTAATACTACCAATAATTGTATTTAAACAATTTAAGAATAGCACTAATAGTTTTCCCAACAAAGATCCATCCACTATCCGTTAACCGGATGATCCATAGGGTTCTTCCGTTCCGAAAAGTCTTGGCTTGTTTTTCATCCGAATTTATAGATTTGCTCTGCCGATTGTAAGTCGATGGTTTTTCTGTGCATCTCTGAATTCTTCTTCTTCTCAGTAAAGATTTGACCATTTACTACCAAAATTTTAACAATTATGGAAAAGTTACAATTATTATAAAAAAAAAAATAGTCGAGGTTTTCGGTATTGTTTTGCTCAAAAATGCCCCCAACAGCTTCAATTTAATATAAATCGCATACTTTAATTATTTTTTTTTTGCAAAACATTCAGGCCTGCTCCGGTAATCGTAAAATTTTTTAGTTTTCGTTTTGGGCGAAATCGAAACGTTTTCGTTTTTAGCTGCTCCGGTTTTCGACAAATTTCAGCTATCGGAATGTTTTTCGGCATCCAGGCATCCAAAATCTTTAAAATAAGGTAGAGGCAGGCGGTTTATATTAAATAGTAACAATTGGAGACATATTGGGGCAAGAATATACAGAAAAAACGCCAACAACTATTTCGGGCATGCTTGTAGCTTTGGCATTTTGAATTCCATATCTCATTTGTTCCTCGCAAAGTGTGTATACACTTTCGTAGTGATGGTCAAATTTTCAGAGTTGCACCGAAAAACTATCGCCTAACTATTGCCAAACAAACCGTGGTTAGATTTTAATGTGTTCTAACGGCGGTCCATTTGGGAAAATTCGGAACGGCAAAACCTTGTGGACCGTATGTTTAACGGACGGTGAATGTGCTTTGCCGGTGTGTGGGAAGACCCTATAACTTGTGTTTTTGGTAAAAGGCAAACAACGTAAAGTACTGCTTATTATATTTACAATTGCCCTTTTTCTAAGCCAGAAAAGGGCAAAAAATGCTAGAGTTCAGCAAATCTAGGCATCTAAGATGCTGCCACACTTTTCACACTTTTCTAATTCCGGTTGTCTCCAATAATTATTTGGTTAATTTAGACCATCACATTAAATCACATTAAATAGTATTATTTATAAACAACCATTTTGGCGGTCCTTTGAAGTTATTAATATGAATACATTTATATTTTATAAGTATTTTTAACTGGATGTTTCGTTCCACCAACAATATGGCAACCTTGGCGATAACTTTTTGCGGTGAACTTATCGACATATCGCCAAAACGAGAAAACTGGTTGAACACGGCAAAAATTTTGTTGTCAAATCTGAGGAGGGGTCAGAAAAAAATTTTTTTTTAAATAACTACGTGCCAGAATGATCTTGTGGTGGTGTGGAATAAACATCAATAGACCACTGAGTAAACTATTTTTTTCCTTTTGTAAATAAGATCTGATTTCATATAAAAAAAGCCATTTACTTTTCATTCCGGCCAGAAAAAGGTGCCCGTTTTTCAAATTGAAAAAATCTTTCGTTTTCGATTACCGGAGCACCAATTTCTCGTTTTCAAAAACGAAAACGAAAAAATCTTGCCGTTTTCGATTACAGGAGTAGGCTTGATTGTTATACTATTTTGTTAAAAGATTTTGAGAATCTCTGCCACAATTGGTGATTTGTCATATAACTCATTTAAATTTATTGGTAATAAATTTTGCAGCGATCTTTGGTTTTGCTAATCTTTAACAGCCAAAATAGTTGATAAATTATTAATTTTACTCCCTCAGGAGCCACTTTGCCAACTTTGTTTATGTTTTAGATGAACCACAGCTGTTCGATTAGCTGTTATCAAATAGTGGCTGATTGATCGAGCTCTGTTGGAATCGGAGTTTTACATCTGGCGAAAATCCAAACTGATTCACACGGATGTACTGGGTGTGAAAACAGTATAATGTTATCATATTAAATGGAGCTATTGATCAATGTTTTCAAAGGTATAACAAAGAAAGATTGGTATTCACATAATATTTAAATGGCGTCAATATTAAAATAGAAAATGCATTTTTTATTGATTGTAAAAAAAAATAAGAAAATTCATAGCTTTTATAGATATATACTGTCTTCCCACACAGCGCATTTGTGAGAAACGGTTGGGATTTTTAAAAAAAGTGAAACTCGTGTTCCCACAGAGCTGCGTTAAAGTGCATCCACATTCGAACAGAAAACGTAAACAAAGGCTGTCGAATTGGAATTAGATGACGAGGAATTTGAGTTTCTCTAATGATTTTTCAAATTCCCCGAAGAGTGTGTGTAGGTAGTATAGGCTTCCCAAATCTATAAAATAAAGTAGAGGTAGGCGTTTTATATTATATAGTAGCAATTGTGTCCCCAATTTGGGGCAAGAATATACAAAAAACAACGCTAACAACTATTTTAAGCATGCTTGTAGCTTTGGCGCCACATTTTAAATTCCATATTTCATTTCTTCCTCGCCAAGTTTGTTTACATTTTCGTAGTGTTGGTCAAGTTTTCACTGTTAAGAAGAAGAAATCAGAGTTGCACCGAAAAACTATCGCCTAACTATCGCCAAACAAACCGTGGTTACATTTAGATGCGTTCTAACCGCGGTCCATATGAGAAAATTCGGAACGGTAAAACCTTATGGGCAGTTAGTTCAACGGACGGTGGATGCGCTTTGACGGTGTGTGGGAAGACCCTAATATACAATATCTCCCTAGTCCTCAATAATTTCATCGAAATTTATCCATTTTCATAGCATTTAAAAATAAAACAATATTACACCCAGTTATGTAATATTTTATGCGATGACTCTCATAAATGGTAAAACATGTTTTTAAAAAGGGACTATTACCTTGACCACCTTCATGCACCCATTTAACAGAGCGTTTTTTTCGATTGACATACATTGATTGACCCTTAGATGTTTGGTTTGAAATATCGCTTAACGAATGAGATATTCTCCGGGCTAGCTCAACTTGGTCTTCCACAGTAGGGTGTAGTGTTGGAGAATAAAATGCGGACGAGGCATATAGCTTTCCTATTCAAAACAAGGTTCAAAAAATTTATAAAATAAAATGTATGGCAATATTGCATAGGCACTAAAAAAAGGTGATAGGTAAAAAGTTATTTTTGCAAAGAAAGCGCTTATGTATATTAGTTGAATCATTATAAAGCGGTATACGTAGCACCTTTTTTCAATATAAACCGATTTATAACTTATTTACTTACGGTTCTTCGGTAATATTTCAGGCGTATCGGTCGCAGGCGTAAATATTTTGCGCAAGTCAACATTTGTCTTTGATATATGTGCTGGTTCCTAAGTAAAAGAAATCTAACTGCATTTAAAAAGTGGCCTTTTGTGTCATCATAAATATTATGAAGTCATTACATTTTTCTTTTGCCACAATTGTTTACCAAGCTTTATTAAAATGTCTCGTTTTTGTCTATCATGAAGATCACTTGGACGATATCCTCTCCTTTTCTCTACTATGCAGTTCATTTTTTTTTTTTTTTAATTTAGTAATACTTAAGTAATATTAAATGAACTTTTATCAAAAAGAGACAACAATCAGTAGGAAATCTAAATAAAATCACTTTTGATAAAATTTGCCTTAACGTCAGAAATACTCTTCGTACGCCTCACTCTATGCTCTCTAAAAGGCTAATTTTAGAAATTTGTATTTTAAAAAATATATAAGGCATAGTATGGTATAGAACATGTATATATATCTATATCAGAACATGTATATATATATATATAAGTATAGAGACCAACACTCTCATTTATATATTTGTTTTTGTTCCTCTTCGCATATATATGCATGTATATATTTAACATATGTGTTTTTGGATGGATTCCTTGCAGTTCTGGTCAGTGATGCCAGTATCTCTGAAGCAAAAATTCTATCGAATCTGAAAATATCCGCGATGCATCACGAATATTTAGCCGATATTTTCGCCGGATAGGGGTCGACACAAAAAAGTTAGCCGCTAAATTTTCAAACAAAATCTCAGTCGCAAGACGAGAATATACATTTTGCATTCTCCTATACAATCTTCTATTTTTTTAACAAATGGACTTTTAATTTTGCAATAAAGACATTTAATTTATATAAACTATTTAGCTAAACGGTGTCGCTAAATGACTGAAAATATAGCAAAACGAAAACCAGGCACAATTTGCACTGCAGTTTGAAAGGGGCCTCCTCGGCAAAATTCCCTTTAAGATTACAAATATCCGAATACTGTTCCCTTTATTATTTAGTTATTATGTATGTCAATGTAACTGTAAACTGTGAAACTTAAGAACTCAGTAATTATTACTTTACCTGGAACTGCGTGGTAATTGGTTGAAATGGTTGACCATTTTGCTGGAATCGTTGAGAATCGAATTCAGTTTTTTTTTCAGCTTCCAATTGAATTTGCTGTTGCTTAAGTTTATTTTGGTCACATAACTGCTGAGCCAATAGCTGTTGCTCATGTATTTGATTTGCCAATTCGTTTTGCTTCTGAATCAACTTTAGTTCCTGCTCTTTGAGCTGTGTTATTTTTTCTTGGGCCTTTATATTAATATCTATGTCCGATATTATTTCTTTTATTTGATTATTAAAATCTTTCTGAAAATGATAAATAAATTAATTTTAAACCATATATTGGAAAGCGTAGGTTCATATGCAAAGTTATTTGGACAAAAATAGTATTTCAAGCTGCCGTAAAGCCTAGTACTCTGATGACGAAAATTCGCTGTAACACGTGTTATAGCGGAATCGCTGTTTATTTGGCTCGGTAACCGGTGTGACCAAAAAAAATTAAGGAAAAGCCATGAAACGCCATGAAAATGGTAATACTGAACAGCTGTTTGTTGTTTGTAAACAAATAAAGATGAATTGAAACGGATTGGGCAGAAAATTTGTCAGTCCAACAATTATACTTTTCTTTTAATTTTTCTCTCCATATTTTGGGTGTAAAGCCTAGTACTCTGACGACGAAAATCCGATGTAATACGTGTGATAGCGGAATCGCTCTTTATTTAGCTACCGAGCTATTGTGACCAAAAAATTAAGGAAAAGCCATGAAACGCCATGAAAATGTACCTTTTATGGCGTTTAATGCTTTTTTTGGTCACACTGGACAGCTGTTTGTAAACAAATTTTCCAAAAATATATTTAAAATATTAATAAATATGGCATTAAAATGTCCTTTGTGGGTTAAATTCCATATTCTGGGCTTCGCCTTGACAGCCACTATCAATGCCACTTTTTTCCTTCAACTTTCCCTCCATTAGGGGTGTAAGAATAAATCAAATGAATTATTGTTACACCCCGCGATCAGCTGTTTACTATCTTGATCTGGCAGTGCCGTTCAATTTGAACAGCCATAATTTTCGTCGTTAGAGTACCGGCAAAATCGACGAGACACAAATTTTTCTTCTTCCTTTTTTCACACCGTTTTTTTTTATATGCAGGCCTGCTCCGGTAATCGAAAAAATAGTTTACTCAGTGGTCTATTGATGTTTATTCCACACCACCATAAGATCATTCTGGCAGGTAGCTATTTTATAAAAAATTCATTACTGACCCCTCCTCAGATTTGACAACAAAATTTTTGCCGTGTTCAACCAGTTTTCTCGTTTTGGCGATAGGTCGATAAGTTCACCGCAAAAAGGTATCGCCAAGGTTGCCATATTGTTGGTGGAACGAAACATCCAGTTAAAAATACTTATAAAATATAAATGTATTCATATTAATAACTTCAAAGGACCGCCAAAATGGTTGTTTATAAATAATACTATTTAATGTGATTTAATGTGATGGTCTAAATTAACCAAATAATTATTGGAGACCACCTGAATTAGAAAAGTGTGAAAAGTGTGGCAGCATCTTAGATGCCTAGATTTGCTTAACTCTAGCATTTTTTGCCCTTTTCTGGCTTAGAAAAAGGGCAATTGTAAATATAATAGGCAGTACTTTACGTTGTTTGCTTATTACCAAAAACACAAGTTAGCTGCTTGAGCAGTGAGAAACGATGAGAAAACGAAACATTCCGATAGCAGAAATTTGTCGAAAACCGGAGCAGCTAAAAACGAAAACGGTTCGTTTTCGCCCAAAACGAAATCGAAAAAATTTTACGATTACCGGAACAGGCCTGATGGAGTTTGGCCGCTGTAACACGTGTTAAGCGGATTTTCGTCGTCAGAGTACTAGGCTTAAGGGGGGACATCTGAGTAACTGGCAAAAAAAAAGCCCATTTTCTAGAATTTTTTTTGGCCAAATGAAAAAGCCAATCGAAAAATTTTAAAGTAGGTTTGATAATGTTAGATGTGAACTACAAAATAATTTTTTTTTAATAAATCGAAAACAAAATGGCGGCTGTGCAGCATGTCTTCGTAGGCCCTATTTTTTTGAAAGGGGTCCATGGCCGAAAACCTAACGTCCTTAGTTTTTGATCTAGAACAAAAAATCAAATTTTTTTAGTTTCTATATCTCAACCGCTATCGACGTACGTAGGATTTTTTCGATATTTTGATTTTTAGCAAAATGGTGAGTGATTAAATAAAATGTTCAATTTTCATGAAAAAAAAACGTCACAAAATTGTTGATAAAAAAAAAAAGTAAGCAAAAAAAAAATCCTACGTACGTCGATAGCCATAGGTATTTTGGATATACTGTCAAAATTTCAGATCGATCGGTTAAGATTTGTTCGAGTTATGTTTTCGGCCAACTCAAAAAAAGTGGTTTTGAGAAAAACGCGTTTAAAGTTTTAAAATCGTATATGATTACATATGAGGCATCGCCGCAGAATGGAAAATTTCGACACTTAGAAACTTTTGCCGGACTCTATCTTTTGATATGTCATTTTTAAGACCCTAAAGTATTTTTTAAGCAAAAAAAAAATTTTTCGATTTTTAAAAAAAGTTACTCAGATGTCCCGCCTTAAGAAAAATCAAATGAATTATTGTTACACCCCGATATTAACTCTTTTGATCTGGCAACGCCATTCAATATTCGCAGGCATCATTTTTGTCGTCAGAGTACCGGCAAAATCGACGAGGCACAAATTTCTTCTTCTTCCTTTTTTCACACCGTTTCTTTTTAATTTGGAGTTTGGCCGCTATAACACGTGTTACAGCGGATTTTCGTCGACAGAGTACTAGGCTTAAAAGAAAAAAAACCCAGACAGGGAGCTAACTTCGGCACGTCGTAGTTTGTATACCGTTGCAGTTTTCAATTATTAACAATTGATCCAAGACTAACAGGAAATATATATTCAATATATGGGCATTTCCACAGAAATGTCAACCGCGGCCAAAAAACTAAAACTTCTCTAAAATGTTTTTTTTCCAACATAGTAACACTAGGAAAAGGTCAATTGATTAAATTTGAAGGGCTTTATCATATTCTAAGACAAATTTCGAAATATTCGAATGCATATTCGCGCAAACACGATTTTTCATTATTTTGATGAAAAACATCATAAAAATGGGCCTGTTTTCTTTTGATAATTACATCCAAACCAAGGCATTATGTTTTGACTGTTGTTTACTAACATCACAAGAAGAATGCAAAAAGTCGAAATAAAATGGATATATGCTCTTCTAATTTACTTAAATAGTAAAAAATTACATGCAAAGTATGATGATAAAAACTGTCGCGTGCGACCTGTCGCGTGCGACACCTTATTAAAATTAAATAAAAAATAAACTACGCTAAATTTCTGATTGTAAATAAAAGCATATGAAAATGAAATTAGCGCATAACATTTAAATATTCCCAGCCGTTTCGCTAAAATCAGTGTTTAAACGGCTCGCCGCGTAAAGTGACTTATATTTTTGTCGCGTGCTTCAATTTTTTTTAAATTTCTTAAATTTGAGCATACACTCAAAATCAACACTAACACCAATTATAGCCCTAGGTAAGAGCTATAAGTTAATATTTTTAAAAGAAATAAATATAAAATGTACCATACTTTTTTTTTTGCTTTGAATGCGTACGAATGTCGCGTGGGACACCATGGAAATATATATTTATATATATATATATATATATATTTATATATATATATATATATATATATATATATAACTTCGTTGTTTTTCAACGTATTTCCATCTACTCTGAGATATGAGCTGCCATAGAAACGATCGGTAGAAGTAGAGAAAATGTAAAGCTGGGAATGTATAACTGTAACTGTCAAACTGTAAACTTAATAAGTATAGGTAAAATGTAATTAAACTCTGTTTTGTGGGTGGTTTTCAGCATTTAAATTTATTATGTAAATATGAAAACCAACTTTTATATATTTCCTTTAATTTCTTTCTATTAATTTAACTCTTAATGATACCATACAATTGCAAACTGCAAGGGTATGCAAACTTCGGCGTGCCGAAGTAAGCTTCCTTTCTTGTTAGTTATCATGTTCACCGACTTTTAAAATGGAATTTTTCATGATAGCACTTTAAATTTTTGGATACTCATATATTAAACACCAAACGACCTCTGAATGATTTTTCAACATATATTTTTATAATTTAAGCTGTAAATATTTCAAATCGGTTACATAGTTTTATTTTATACGATTTAAAAATGTTTTTAAATTGTATCAAAACCAAATAAATATATGTTATGTATATATAAATATATATGTATATATATATATCGGATCGGACGACTATATCATATAGCTGCCATAGGAACGATAGCGAAAGTAATAGAATATATAATATATATATATATATATATATATAATTTTTTCTATTACTTTCGCTATCGTTCCTATGGCAGCTATATGATATAGTCGTCCGATCCGGGCCGTTCCGACATATATAGCAGTGAGAGTATATGCAAAGTTTCACTTAGAGTGTGGAGAGAGTGGACGCCGAACAATAGGATGCAGTTCAACCACAGGAAGAGTTACTGCTTCAATTGTGGATCTTCGTAAGAATTGCAAGGCTGCCGTGAAGTGCTTCAGATGTAACGTGGAGGGCCACATGTCAAGGGATTGCCCTGAATCAGCTGCAGATGTTCAAGTTGTACGCAGTGCAAATCGCATGAAAAAGGTTACCATCAACGACGTGGAATTAGAGTGTCTGGTAGATACGGAAGCCGAAGTAACTATTTTGCGCAAGTATGTCTTTGAAAAAATACCCAATGTCATCTTCAGGAGATGTGCGTCGAAGCTGCGTGGGCTTGGAAAGAGGATGACGTGCCCAGTTGGCTACTTTTTGGCTGAGGTTGCAGTAGATCAGGAGTTGACGACACACAACTTTGTTGTAGTGGAGGATGCGGACATTGAGTATGATGCGCTGCTGGGTTTCAATTTCGTCTCGAAGTTTAACTTTTCGCTTTCGGCCGACGGATACAAGTTTTCTTTCCCGCTGGAGGAGAACGCTTGTGAGAAACCAAATCAGTATGCTAAAGAAGTGTCGCAGCTAATCAAGAACTACGAGGCCGTGAATACAGTCGCAGAAGTCCCAGTCAAGATGCGGATGGTACCGGATGATGACAAAAATTTATATGTTATATTTTCATAAAATTTATACCAAAATTTTATAATAATAAGTAAAGATCATATCTCAGAGTATATGGAAATACGTTGAAAAACAACGAAGTTATAATTTTTTCTATTACTTTCCCTATCGTTCCTATGGCAGCAATAAGATATAGTGGTCCGATTTTCATAAAATTTTTACCAAAATTCTGGAATAATATTAAAAGGCTATAAATGATGGAATAATATTGAAAAACAGCCAAGTAATAATTTTTTTTCTAAAAATTTATCGAACATTTGTATGGTAGCTATATGATATAGTCGTCCGATCCGGCCCGTTCCGACTTATATAGCAGTGATAGAAGACTATATGCAAAGTTTCATTCAGATAACATTAAAACTGAGGGACTAGTTTGTAGAAACGGACAGACGGACATGGCTAGATCGACTCGGCTATTGATGCTGATCGAGAATATATATAGGTACTTTATAGGGTCGGAAACGTCTCCTTCACTGCGTTGCAAACTTCTGACTGAAATTATAATACCCTGCAAGGGTATACAAATAAAAGCACCACGTAAGTACCTCGCGACACTTATCCTTGACGAATGACATATATTTATATGAAATCGGATGATTCTGTGGACAGTTAGGATGTACATCGCAAACATTTTTGGAGGGCATTAGGGAGATTCCTTATTACTCCTATACCTCGAAATATTTATCAATACAATATTTAATATAAAATGGTTTGATTGTTGTGGTATTATATGATATTTAATTGAATAAGCTAGCATTATACTGTCTTCCCACAAAGCGCATTTGTGAGGAACGGTTGGGATTTATAAAAAAAGTGCAACTCGTGTTCCCACAGAGCTGTGTTAAAGTGCATCCGCATCCAATACCAGCTGATCGATCAGCTGTGGCTCATGAAAACGTAAACAAAGATGGCTGAAACGGCCGATGTAGAAGTAAAATGAATAGTTTATAAACCATTTCGGCTGTTTACCAATAGCAAAACAACAGATTGAGTCAGATTTTATCCGCACTAAATTTAAATGAATAAGATAACATGAAATTTTAGTTTTCTAATGATTTTTCTCTAACAAAGAGCAAATTCCCCGAAGAGTGTTTATAGGTGGTAAAGACATCTAAAATCTTTAAAATAAGGTAGCGGTAGGCGGTTTATATTAAATAGTAGCAAGTGGGAATACTTTGGGGCAAGAATATACAAAAAAAAAAAAAAAAAAAAAACACACAACTATTTTGGGCATGCTTGTAGCTTTGGCGCCACATTTTAAATTTCATATTTCATTTGTTCCTCGCCAACTTTGTTTACATTTTCGTAGTGGTGGTCAAATTTTCACTGTTAAGAAGAAGAAATCGGAGTTGCACCGAAAAACTATCGCCTAACTATCGCCAACTAACCGTGGTTAGATTTAGATGCGTTCTAATGGCGGTCCAAAATGAGAAATTCGGAACGGCAAAACCTTATGGGCAGTTAGTACAACGGACGGTGGATGCGCTTTGACGGTATGTGGGGGAAGACCCTATTAGCAGATTCGCCGCAACAAATTTTGTTTGCACCGAATTAGCCATAACCCCCCTTTAAACCAGAACGGGCAGATCGGACCACATATAGCTCCATAAGGAACATTCGGGAGATTTAAAAAAAAAAAAGATAATTTTATCGTTTTTGAAAAGTTTCACTTTTTAGAATAGAAACAATATAGGAAAATAGGAAGACCGTAACTTTCAGAACAATTTAAAACTGAAAATATTTATTCTTTATGATTTTGTAATATTTTTAATTTTATCAAAATCGATCGTTCTGTTTTTTATAAAGGCCTTGGAAAAATCAGTTCGGTTAAATATAATTATTTCATTTTTAACCTGATAGGTTTTTTTTATTAGACGGAAAGGGATTAAATTCTCAATGCAAACCGAGCTGGTATAAAAACTTAGTTAGCTTTCTTTCTTTTTTATAAACTAGTTTTTTTTCATATTATATCTCCTTAAGTACGTTGTGAATTTCCGACTAAAATAATAATATGCTATCCAAGGGTATAAAAACAACTAACCTGATCTGATGGCTTCACACCTTCATTTGTCTGTGTCTCGGAAAATTCGGTTTGAACAGGAATGTGTTCCTCCGGTTTCTTCACCTTTAATATTTTTAAAAGCAAGTTCATCAATTTATAAACTTTTGTTTACCAAGTATATGAAATCATAAATTGATAAATTTATATTATCTTTATAAATACCCCACCCCATTAAACCCAAAAAAAAAATGCAACATAAAAAAAAAACCAAAAATCTTACCTCAGTTTCAGTTGGTTTATTTAATGAGAGTTCCGATTGAACAGAGTCACTTTTTACCTTCTAAGACGAATGAGAAATAATTATTAAAACAAATAAAACAGCAGATAAGATAAAACGTACATCACTGGAAAATCCTTCTTCTCCTTTTCCCACAAGATCCTTCTTTTCCTAAAAATAATATAAGAAAAGTTTAAAGGTATTTGTAACAAACCAAGCTATAAATTAAAGATCCGAGTGACGTGTATTTCAAATTTTGTCTAGTTTTGAACGATTTCTGAGCCTGTAACAAATAATATTTTGATAATTATATTAACATTGACTCTCAAATTTAAAAATGATCCGTTAAAAACTTTTACGCCTTTTAGTTTTGCGTACTATTCCTTTGCCATATATGTAGCTCACGAAATTTAGGTCCAATCGGCTTACGGTGTCACCAATAAATTATAAACTGTAGTAACGACATATTAAAATACCTTTTCATTTAGCGATTCATTTTGGGTGGCAGTTTCATTTTTACTGTGGTTTTCCGCTGGCGACTCCGTTGACACTGTTGCGGGTTCATTAGGGTCCTGAAATAATATATCAGAAATATATATGGACTATCAAAGTGAAGATGTTCAAAAGTTGCAAGGCGCGTGCTGCTTATAAAACGCAGTTTCTGTTTGAAATTATAATATCTCACAAAACGTTAAAATACCCTTTATGTAAATATTTAAGATTTTTTTAAGTAAATGAGATCATATTACGTCTCTATACTGATATGTAGTTGCCTCACACACATCGCCCTTCTTCTATAAGATGAGCTCATGTTTTTAAGATTTTAAGTTAAAATAAAGATTATTTGATTAGAAAAAGTTAGAAAAGCCAGCATCTTTTAAAAATAATTTTGTAAGCGTTTAATTAATAATTTATTTTTATGTAAAGTTAAAATAATACTTCATCTTCAGAAAACGATTCTTCGGCATCATCCCCTGATTCTGTATCTTCGATATTAACATCTTGTTCTTCGACATCAATTGGAACTTTTGGCTTATCATCTTCGATTTTCAATGCGCTATCAATCAATATGGGATTATCAGTTACAGGAAGTTCTTCGAAAGTTGGATCCGTTGTTTTAGCATCACTATCTGTGACTGCCTCGGTAGAATCAATTTCTTTCTCAATAGTATCGGTTGAGGCATCAGTAATCGACGATTTCTCCTCAACCTGTTTTTCGGTACTTTCAATTTTATCTAAACTTTCGTTTTGTTCGGTCTCGATGGCTGGGCTTTCGGTCTCGCTTGTGCTTTCTTTGTTAGGAGCAAGAGTCACTGTACTTGTAACTTCATCGTTTTTTAGCTCCTTTTCCGTTGAATTTCCATTTTCGGCAACGTTAACCTTAAGAATTACAAATAAAAACATGGGCGTAATGACATTTCACTATAAGTTTAGAAGTCTCAAAGGGTTTGACCCAGAAATCTCTGATAAGAATTCCTTGGAAAAAAATGTCTAAGAGTTGCATTATATGTTTTTCGCATCCCCAATTTAGTTCCTAACATTCTTTTTGGTACCTTTTTAATGAGAATTTAAAACAAATTTTGGAAAAATAGTTGATGTTTTTATCGGTATCGCTTTAGGTATAGATTATAAATAACACAGGCCGACAAAATTTGAAAAATATGCAAAACCAAAAAAGACACGTTTTTGAGATATTTCATTTTCAAAGGTCAAAACCTAAATTTTTAGCACTTTTAAGTTCAAATATTTTGAAAACCTGACGTATAAAAAATTTTCTAAGACCGGATTTGGGTTCAGCGAATCAAAAACGATCTGAAAAGTTTATTCCAGTTTTTGATTTTAAAATTTGTGTGTAATGTCTAATATATCTTAACTCTAAAGTGTATACACTCTCAAATGTTTCTATTTTTTATTATAATACTAATACTTTCATATAGGCACATTCATATTGTACTTACTTCGGGTGTAGAATCCATTTCACAAATCAAATCTTTGTATATCTGTGTGATAAACTAAATATTAAGAGAAAATAAACTATAATAAGTATTCAAAGCCTATCAAGAAAAAGTAAGCAACAGGTGCTAAAATGAATATATTAGTATGTACATATGTGTACGAAAATATCATGCACAGGTATATATATACATTTCAATAGACTTAAATGCTAAAAGAGAGTATATCGCTTGAGCACACGTAATTAAGTAATAAAGTTTTAAAGCACTGCATTTGTTTATTTAATCATTTTTTTTTTAACGAGTATATTTTTTACTTGATTATTTTTCACTAGTTTTCTTACAAACGTGATATAACTTGAACTTGACAATACTGTGAAATCGAACTGTATTTGTAAGATAGATAATAATAAAATCAAAATTCTCGCAAGAGTGAACCAAGGAATATACATACACCGTTGAATTTCGTAGAATATGAGTGCACATCAAAGATACGTTCCACACTGTCCACATTTTTTCGCTATTTACTATATCATTTCCCACATATAACTTTTTCACAGAAACATTTTATTTTAAAACACACACAGTGTATGTGAAAGTGTGTATGTGTGCGTACAAATACAAAAATAAATATGTACATATATTTTATATATACATACATATATACTGGGCTGATTTTCTGGTGGAAGGTTTTAAAAATTAAGGTGAAAACTTTAAAATACAAAAAATATAGAGAAAATGTAATTTGAATTTGTATTTTTTTTAACTTACATTTTTATATTATGGTAAATTAAATAAAAATAACAATATTCTCACTTTAAGTTTCCCTCATCACTGTGGACGGTCGACCACCTAGGGACCTACTATGTATATACATATAGGCATTTCCAGGATGGCAAACGGTACATTTGTACAAAAAGTGCAAAAAAAATCACGATTAATGAATTTTATTAGTGCTATTTGCATTATAAAAAAAAAGTATTGAGAACTTTTTGTTTTGAAATTATTTTAAAAACAAGAAAGGAAGCTAACTTCGGCACGCCGAAGTTTGTATACCCTTGCAGATATTATTTCATTACATTTTACCTATGTATACTTAATATGTTTACAGTTTGACAGTTACGGTTTTGCATTCCCAGCTTTACATTTTCTCTACATCTACCGATCGTTTCTATGGCACCTATATGATATAGTTGTCCGATTTTTATGAAATTTATATATATATAAATTCTAGAATAATAAAATAAGCTTATATCTCAGAGTAGATGAAAATACGTTGAAAAACAACGAAGTTATAATTTTTTTCCTATTAATTTCCCGATCGTTCCTATGGCAGCTATAAGATATAGTCGTCCAATTTTCATGACATTTTTATCGAAATTCTAAAATAATATAAAATGGCCATATCTAAAAAATGGTGCAAAAATGTTGAAAAACAGCCAAGTTATTTTTTTTCTAAAAATTTATCGAACATTTGACGGACGTATTTCAGTCAGAAGTTCGCAACGCAGTGAAGGAGACGTTACCGACCCTATAAAGTATATATATTCTTGATCAGCATCAAAAGCCGAGTCGATCTAGCCATGTCCGTCTGTCCGTCCGTCCGTCAGTCCGTTTCTACGCAAACTAGTCCCTCAGTTTTGAAGCTATCTGAATGAAACTTTGCAAATAGTCTTCTATATACTCCCACTGCTATATATGTCGGAACGGGCCGGATCGGACGACTATATCATATAGCTGCCATACAAATGTTCGATAAATTTTTAGACAAAAAATTATAACTTGACTGTTATTCAACATTTTTGCATCCTTATTGAGATATGGCCATTTTATATTATTCCAGAATTTTGGTAAAAATTTTATAAAAATCTATATCATATAGCTGACATAGGAACAATCGGGAAATTAATAGGAAAAAAATTATAAAATCATTGTTTTCCAACGTATTTTTATCTACTCTGAGATATGAGTTTCTGTTATTATTTCAGAATTTTGGTATCAATATTATGAAAATCGGACAACTATATCATATATCGTCTTCCTCTATTATTTTGTCGGGCTTGAGGTGGTCTTTGTGCAGCGCGAAGCTGTGCCATCTGGCCACGTATCGATGCATTTCTTTCTGTACGTTCCTCTTGCGTCCGGCTATTACGGAAATTCTGACTTCTTATTGAATAGCTGCCATAGACGCGATCGGTAAATGTAGAGAAAATGTAAAGCTGGGAATGTAAAACTGTAACTGTCAAACTGTAAACATAATAAGTATAGGTAAAATGTTATGAAACTCTGTTTAGTGTCTGTTTTCGACATTATTTATAATATAAAAATGAAAACCAATCTGCAAGGGTATACAAACTTCGGCGTGCCGAAGTTAGCTTCCTTTCTTGTTTTAGTTTATTGTTGATGCAAAAATCCTAACACAAAAATCTAAGCAAAAAACGAATATACAATAAATAAGAACGAAAAACAAAGCCAGCATTTATGGTCGCGAACAGTTGAAGACAATATAAATTATATTAACACATTTTTTTAGACTTTTAATTTTAGCATTGCTATATAACTTTTCTGGAAATGCCCATATACACATATGCACGCACAATCAAATATCAGCTTACGATTGTCCCATCGTTTAAAGGTATTTCTTAAGGTAATGGTTGTAATTGGTACAGCAGAAACAAGCTTGCAAAAGATGTTTTTAATTGGACCATCAACATACCAAAACATCAATAAATAAGGTTAGGTTGACCTTTTTGCAAATGAAATATTTTTTTTTTTTCGTGTCAGTCTGAATCAAATCGTTGTTTTAGATGCCGGGAATAAGTTGAAGGAGAAAACCTTTTGATCTAAAGCCTAGTACTCTGACGACGAAAATCCGCTGTAACACGTGTTATAGCGGAATCGCTCTTTATTTGGCTACCGAGCTAGGAGACCAAAAAATTAAGGAAATCCCATGAAACGCAATAAAAATTTACCTTTTATGGTAGATCCACTAGGCTGTTGATGCTGATCAAGAAAATATATACTTCATAGGGTCGGAAAGGTCTCCTTCACTGCGTTGCAAACTTCTGACTGAAATTATAATACCCTGCAAGGGTATAATTATATGACTTTTTTTGAAACGCTGAACACCCTTAAATGGTCCCTCTTAAGGGGGGACATCTGAGTAACTTTTTTTAAAAATCGAAATATTTTTTTTGCTTAAAAAATACTTTAGGGTCTTAAAAATAACATATCAAAAGATAGAGTCCGGCAAAAGTTTCTAAGTGTCGAAATTTTCCATTCTGCGGCGATGCCTCACATGTAATCATATACGATTTTAAAACTTTAAACGCGTTTTTCTCAAAACCACTTTTTTTGAGTTGGCCGAAAACATAACTCGAACAAATCTTAACCGATCGATCTGAAATTTTGACAGTATATCCAAAATACCTATGGCTATCGACGTACGTAGGATTTTTTTTTTTTTTGCTTACTTTTTTTTTATCAACAATTTTGTGACTTTTTTTTTCATGAAAATTTAACATTTTAGTTAATCACTCACCATTTTGCAAAAATTCAAAATATCGAAAAAATCCTACGTACGTCGATAGCGGTTGAGATATAGAAACTAACAAAATTTGATTTTTTGTTCTAGATCAAAAACTAAGGACGTTAGGTTTTCGGCCATGGACCCCTTTAAAAAAAATAGGTCCTACGAAAACATGCTGCACAGCCGCCATTTTGTTTTCGATTTATTAACAAGAAAATTTATTTTGTAGTTCACATCTAACATTATCAAACCTAATTTAAAATTTTTCGATTGGCTTTTTCATTTGGCCAAAAAAAATTCTAGAAAATGGGCTTTTTTTTTGACAGTTACTCAGATGTCCCCCCTTAAATACGACGCAGCGGCGGCGATTTGCAATTATGTTGAAAGGTTAGAATCGAACCGATTTTAAGGTGCACCCCCAAAATATTTATTTATAAATCTAGTATGTCAGCTAATTCAATTGTGCAATAATGTTACCAAAACCATAAGGAATATAATACAATTAACATTTGTAATTTTCATAATCGCATTGTATTTTAAAATAATGAATTTCCGATTTTGCGGATTTAAATCCACCGGCCCAATAGCAGTCGGAAAGTTTCCCTCGCAAATTAACAGAGACTTAACAGAGGGAAATACGAATCCGTAAGAATTTTTCGGAAGTGGAAACTATAACAGACCTGTATATATATGTCGGAGATAACCGTTATTTAATTCCACCGTAGTCGAGCCAGCGAATTCTGTTCGCCTGCGCAGTCAAATCGTATCTGCCATCACGCCACTTTTCCTGTGGCCCTTTCACTTTTTCTCCCTTTTCACTCAGACGTCAATTCTAGACAATCTCACTGGATGTGCCAGGAACTCCGCCGCATAATTTGCAACTAAAGGTGGGATCAATTATTATAATGCTGCGGAATCTAAATCATCAGAGATTATGCAACGGAACGCATAAACTAATGAAATTAAGACGTTCCGTTTTTACTTTGACGTACATGTCGACACAGTATTGTTGAAACAAACGGCGGTATCTTAACAGATGATTGTCAACATCTAGTCGAATCATCAATCGACAGGCATAAAAGTTCATAGAGCTGACCTTATTCGTTTCTTCTCCTAAAATTTGAATTCAAACTTAGTTGTAGAATCAAAAAGAAGTGATGACTTGTAAACAAACCTGTCGTTGGCTTGACCATCTTTATGTTGAAGTGGTAAGATCCTTGTAGGATGTTTCAGAATTGTTTGCGAATGCAGCGCGATTCAAGTTTTCATTTGCCGGTCGTCTTCCTCTATTATTTTGTCGGGCTTGAGGTGGTCTTTGTGCAGCGCGAAGCTGTGCCATCTGGCCACGTATCGATGCATTTCTTTCTGTACGTTCCTCTTGCGTCCGGCTATTACGGAAATTCTGACTTCTTATTGAATTGCTTGAACGCCGTCCAAGTCTTGATCGTCTAACAGCAGGCATTATTTCCAATTGTTTAAGCTCACTTTGGTAATGCTTCGTTAACTCAATTCTTTTTGTTTCAATATTTTTTTACCGATTTCATTGATACGCAATCTCAACGCAGCTATGATCTTTGTAGGGTGTTTCAGAATTGTACATACAACAGTGTGTACATCTGTTGAGCCGCTAGGGACATTTTCAGAAGGTTTTCCCAAAGCTATAACCTTCTTCTGGCAATTACAAACAACTGGAAAAAAATTGAGCCAAATCGGCCCAGCCGTTCTCTTGTGGTGTGATTGCTAACATTTTTTGTCTCCATTTTTATATATATAGATTATTTATAATTTCTGTTATATTAGATATTTCAAATTGTTTAGGTACGCGGCCCATTGTACCGCCGCTGCTGGCTGAGCTTTCCGCTCCCGCCCCTCTTGCTCTCCAGCAGCGCTGAGCGCTTGCGCACTCTCGAGCGCGGGCTTCGATGCCGAAGTCCTCGATCGGCCGCTGCCGATCTCCTGCTCTCGCTTTAGCGAAGCTAGAGTCTTAGTTCCATATATGCAGCCAAATAAAGCTTAACCAGCGATTGAATTTATCCACGACGCCCCCGATCTACTTATTTCTACCAACTATTACGGTTACGCCATGGGAACTTTCCTCCAGCCACAACCACCAATTTTTCCAAGGACAGAAGCGCCGCCCCCAACACAAATCTAAAATGTAGTTATTTTATACGATTTAAAAATGCAAATGATCGACAAATTTTTAGAAAAAAAATTGTAACTTGGCTGTTTTTCAACATATTTTAATAATTTTTGAGATATGGCCATTTTTTATTATTCTAGAATTTCGGTTTTAATTTTATTATCGGACGACTATATCTTATAGCTACCATAGGAACAATCAAGAAATGAATAGAAAATTTTCTAACTTATAATCGGACAACTATATTATATAACTGCCATAGAAACGATAGGAAGATGTAGAGAAAATGTAAAGCTGGGAATGTAAAACTGTAAAGCATAGTACTCTGACGATGAAAATCCGCTGTATAAATTAATACAGCGCCGAACTCCATATAAAAAAAACGGTGTCTAAGAAGGAAAAAGAAGATCTTTTAGCCTCGTCGTTTTTGCTAGTACTCTGACGACGAAAATGATGCCTGCGAAAATTGAATGGCGTTGCCAGATGAAGAGAGTAAACAGCTGATATCGTGCTGTATAAATAATTCATTTGATTTATTTATTATATACCCCTAATGGAGGGAAAGTTGAAGGTGGCATTGATAGAGGCTGTCAAGGCGAAGCCCAGTGTGATAAAAAAAAAAAGCCTTAAACGCCATAAAAGGTACATTTTCATGGCGTGTTATAGCTTTTCCTTTATTTTTTTTGGTCACACTGCTTACCGAGCCAAATAAACAGCGATTCCGCTGTATTAATTTATACAACGGATTTTCGTCGTCAGAGTACTTGGCTTAACTGTCAAATGTAAAATGTAATGAAACTCAGTTTTGTGTGTTTTCAGAAATTAAATTTATAATAATAATATCAAAACCTAATTATTCAGGCCTGCTCCGGTAATCGTAAAATTGTTTCGTTTTCGTTTTTAGCTGCTCCGGTTTTCGGTAAATTTCTGTCGGGATGTTTCGTTTCCTCATCGTTTCTTACTGCTCAAGCAGTTGACTTGATTTTTTGGTAAATAGCAAACAACATGAAAAACTGCCTTTTATATTTAAAATTTTTTATTTCGAAGCCAGGAAAAGGCAAAAAATGCTGGAGTTAAGCAAATCTTGGCATTCAAGATGCTGCCAAATTTTTCACAGTTTTAATTCCGGTGGTCTCCAATAATTATTTGGTTAATTTCGACCATTTTAGTCATAAAATTAAATAGTTATTAATGTATTCAGTTCAATTTTTTAAGTACATATTTTTAACTGGATGTTCGTTCCACCAACAATATGGCAACCTTGGCGATAACTTTTTGCGATGGACTTATCGACCTATCGTCAAAACGAGAAAACTTGGTGAACAGGGCAAAAATATTGTTGTCAAATCTGAGGTGGGGTCAGAAACAATTTTTTTTATAAAATAACTACCTGCCAGAATAATCTTATGGTGGTGTGTAATAAACATCAATAGACCACTAAATAAACTATTTTTTTCCTTTAGTAAATAAGATCTGATTTCATATAAAAACAAGAAAGGAAGCTAACTTCGGCACGCCGAAGTTTGTATACCCTTGCAGATTGGTTTTGATGTTTATTTTATAGATTTAAATGCTGAAAACACTCACAAAACAGAGTTTCATTACATTTTACCTATACTTATTATGTTTACAGTTTGACAGTTACAGTTTTACATTCCCAGCTTTATATATTTTATACATTTACCGATCGCTTCTATGGCAGCTATAAGATATAGTTGTCCGATTTTTATGAAATTTATACCAAAATTCTAGAATAATAAAAAAAACTTATATCTCAGAGTAAATAAAAATGCGTTGAAAAACAACGAAGCTATAATTTTATTTCTATTAATTTCCCGATCTTTCCTATGGTAGCTATATCATATAGTCGTCCGATTTTCATAAAATTTTTACCAAAATTCTGGAATAATATAAAATGGCTATATCTCAAAAAAGATGCAAAAATATTGAAAAACAGCCAAGTTATAATTTTATATGATCAAGAATATATATACTTTATAGGGTCGGAAACGTCTCCACTTATAATACCCTGCAAGGGTATAAAAAGCCATTTACTTTTCAATCCGGCCAGAAAAAGGTGCCCGTTTTTCAAATCGAAAATATCTTTCGTTTTCGATTACCGGAGCACCAATTTCTCGTTTTCATAAACCGGAGCAGGCCTGATTATATCCCATGTATTTCAATATTTTGCTGAAGTTTTCATTATTTTTTAAAAACAAAAAGTTGGCCTGCTAACTTAATATTAAATTACCAAGGACATTAAAAAAGCTATTGTAGCAGGTCAATTACCATAAGTAAGGTCTGGTCACACTATTCGATGAGCTACGCTCTCTGAGAGAACAGGTTACTCTCTCTCTCTCAGAGAGCGCCGCTGCTGGTTTTCGGGGTTAAAGAGAGAGCTGCCTACGTGCAGCACCTGTCATTCGAGCGAACAAAAAGTATAGACGTGTACCGTGTGAAAAAGATCGAAAGAATAAAGAAAACATCCGCATTATTTTCTTATACGAATAATTAACGGTAAAATATGGTATAATCAAAAGTTTGATATTCCAATATTGCTCTGCTAATTTGATGAACATTCTTTTCATTTCAACAAAATTAATAGATTTTTAATGATCCACTTGTAAACTGCAAGATTATACAAACTTCGGCGAGCCGAAGTACCTTGTTCCTGACTTGTATTAGAAAATAAACATTTATTTTCATTCCACTAAATGCATTATTAAAAGTCTTAACTTGTATGATATTTAACGTGGTTTATTGTTTCAAATTTAAATATTTTTTAATCATACGACCTTTGTAATTGTAACTTTATATATAAAATTGTAGGTTATGGTCCATCAACATAATCTCGAACGCCGACATTAATACGACCTTCGGCGGCTGTAACTGAAAATCCAAGAATGCTCCGAGCATCCATTCTCGTCATTTTGTTCTTCTTGATTTTCTTCTGTTTGTTCTTTGGAAATAAGAAAATAAAAAATATATCTAAAAAAGCATAGTTGAACCCACCTTATTATCAGTATTATCATTTGAAGATGGAGTTATAGCCGGCGCTGGCTTGCACATGTCATCGTTGTGTGCATTTTGTGCCCGCTGTAAGCTCTTGTATTTGCTGCGACGTTCTAAAAACTGTTTGGCAAAATCCATTGAATCTTTTCCTTCACCTAAAAAAAATAAAAGAAAATTAGAAGGTTTATAAAAAAATGTAAGTAATATTAAAAGTTCACAATACTTCATGGGCATTAAAAAAATAACATGAACAAGATAGATAGATTTTGTAAACAACATTTTCCTCATATTTGCAGTAAAACCAATGATCCACTTTTTTCTATAACAACTTATGCTCAGAAGAACCCCTAAAACCTGGACTGGACTAAGTCAAGAATATTTGTATACTTTTATAAGTTTTAAATGCCTAACAATTAAGTTTTCAGAATGCCCTTCTGAATGGCATACGAACAGTTAGTTGGAGACGAGCAACTGCGCAGTGTGAGTTAGAATATTCGCCATCTACAATTGTAGTGAATTTTAAACATATAAAAATCCAATGGACAATTCGGAAAACATTAATTTTAGCCCGACATCTGCGCCAACTCCTGCACTTTCTGCGGACCTATTGCGCGTAATGTTAGAAATGGAAAATCTTACTTTGTTGAAAATGTTCAAAGTCATGCAATCTTCGGTGCGTCCGCAAAATCAAGTGGTAATTCCGAAATTTAACCCGGATATGGCTGGCGCTGATACAACTCACTGGTGCGCAACTGCGAACAGTGTGATAGAGGAATAAACGATCGATGACAGAACCTTAATTATAATGCTAAGTAACTGCATGCTTCGGAACAGTTCAGTTCAGATTACTACAACCGTTTGAGGTGATGGAAACACTGCCAGCAGTTACTTTAAATGTGCTAAACAGCCGTCTTGCAAATTAGACATCTGCATGAGTGGCAAAAAAATCGCATTCAAATGCACAAAGCTCAAAATGAGTTGAGTGAATTTGAAGCAAATGCCAAACTGAATTGAATGAGTTGACTCGCTTACGTACGACTCAGCCGCACAAAGAAGAAACGAATGGAATGAAATGAGAACTCAGAAAACTGAGACGCTGAATTCGAATGATTCGAGATGCAACTGTAAATAACATAATAGGTTTGATCGACCGCCACGTTTGGCTGTTGCCTAGTCTAAATTGAAACATAAGCAATTGATATGCGTTTTCATGCTATTTTTCAAAGCTATTCAAGCCGAAAATGAATGAAATGAATTGTATAAATAATTAATTCCTAGTTTTTTTCTGTTTCAGAATATTAAGGGGGGGGGTAAGGTATTTAATTTTTTTCCTAATTTTTTTTTAATTTTTTAAAGGCTCAATATCTTAAGAATATTGTGTCCAAGTTTTACATCGATCATATGAGAATTGACGAAGTTATGCAGAGTTAAAAGAAGGTCGTCTGGTGTTCAATGCATGAGAACCACAAAGTTTAAAGCGCTCTCCTGAAAAATGCCATTTTGAAAATCGGTGTACACGATAACGCGAAATCTACTGAACCAATCGGTTCAAATTTGGAACATAACTTCTTTAGGTAATTCTACAGGTACTCACGTCAAGCTTTTTTTAATTGTTAATTTTATTATATTTTTTATTTAACTAATTAATTTAATTTTTTAGTCAAAAATCGGGGTTTTGACTTCAAATTTTTATAAAAAATAGGGAAAAATTTTTTAAAATAAAAACGCTTTGTGAATACCTCGGGACACTTATCCTTTACCGAATGAGGTATAATTTTTTTAGATCGAATGATTCTGTGGACAGTTAGGATGTACACCGCAAACCAAACCTTTTTTTGGAGGCGACTCGGGAGATTGCCTATAAATCCTCTACCTCTAAATATTTTTCAATACAAAATGGATCAAAAATTGTTCAAATGTTGTGCTATTAAATGGTATTTAATTCATTAAGCTAACTTTAGTCGTTTCGACACATTTTCTTTGAAAATTGGGCATTTTTGCACCGAATTAACCTTTGCGCGGTACAACTGTATATAACTTAACGGCCCAATTGGAAACTCATTTCTTGTTTTCGTTTTACTTGAAAAATTGTTAAGTGTAGATGACGGGATATTAAATAGCTGCTACAACAATGAAAGGAACTTGGAATGTTCCTTTTGATATCATCCACGCTGGTTTTAAAATTAAAAAAAAGGATTGCGAATATGTGAACCAATTACAGTAATTTTGTTCTACACGATCAATAGAGCAAATAAAAGACATTTAAACACTCTGTATGCAACAAATAAATATCCCAGCTAGATTGCAGTAAGAAGTATTAAAAAATCCGATAGCTAAATGTTTGCAAAAGTTTAAAAAACCGGAGCATAAAAAAAACCGTAGGATTCATATTAACATGTAACTGCAATGCCTGTACATTTATCAATAGTCTACCATAGTACATACCAAGATATATGCGGACATAGTCCTTAACCTCATATGGCGCCTCCAAGTCCTGCAAGAAGGCCACAAATGTTGGTACTGCAAAAAGATTAAAAAAAAAAATATATATTTTTATATATATATATAAATGTGAAGTATATGTATATTGGCATTTCTAAAATCGCGCACGGGATATTCGTACGCATTCAAATTAAAAAAAAAAACTGTAGAAAGGAAACGATTTTATTGTCTGATATAGGATTTAACATATTGATTTTTATTAGCTCCTTTCATTGATGCAAAGTTTGATTTTGGATAATTTTTAATTAAGATAATTGAACAATTAAGTGTCCATTCTGCTTAGTTGTATCAAAACAGGCAATCTTCAAGAATTTTTGTTTTGAAAAACAAAAAAAACATGTGTACTTCACGTATATTTCTGATAAAGATGATTTTGCAAAGTTTCATAAATTTTGAAGCATGTCCTGAAGCAGGACACATGGCGACGTAAGCCAATGCACGAAAAAGGAACCCCTCTGGCGACTCTTCTACAGTTCTTGTTTAGTATGAGTGTGGTTATGGAATAGACTAATTTGATGGAAATTGAATAAAAAATAACAAAATTGATGTTTGAAAAGTTTCGTCGTTTTTACTAAAAATGTTCTTGACTTCTTTGTCGATAAATAATCTAATAAAAAAAATTAATTAATTCGTTAATAATGTACTGATATATATAAGGGTCGCCAGCTCGAAAAATGTAGTTTTCCAGAAGTCGCGTTTAAAGTTTTATGTACGCTCTATACCTGCTATGAGTCCGGCCGGTTTGGAGGCTCATAACTTTTAAACTATTACGTATTTTGAATTGCCCTTTTAGTGAATAATGGAAAAAAAGGCGATTTTCTTTATAAATCTAACCAGAATGGACCCTTAAAGACACTTCTTTTTAACTTTTGTGCAAAATGACTTGCATTTTTTTTATATTCAATTTAGACGTAAAAGGAAGTGACAACGAAAATCAAAAATTTTTTACTTTTTCTTTTACGTGTACTTTCGAGTCTTTACATTCTCTGAGTGATGTTAGAAAGCAAAAGTCAAAGATTACTGCCCTGGTTTAGAAGTTATCATCAAAACAAAACATGCCCTTTTTATATTTTTATAAAATTTTAGTGAGAAGTTTGCAATGCAGAGAATCTTAATCCACCTGAAAACTTACAAAAAAAGATTTTTAATTTTTGGTCCCGGTGGAACTTATAAATACTAGTTACATAAAAAAATTTACAGAAACTAAAGTCAAGTTTTTCAACCAAATGTCTGCATTGCAATCTATTAAGTGCAGAAAACCTTGTTTTGAAAGAAAATATGGCAAAACAAACGTAAGGTTAAAAAACTATGGCAAAATATTCAAAAAACACTATAGGAAAAATGATATAAGAATTCCAAATTTAAGCACGGAACACTTTTTGTTTTGTATTTTTATGTAATCGAAAATTTTTGGGCAGACTTGAAAGGTCGAATAGAAACCAATACGTTTAAGAACTCTGAAGACATTTTTAAAAAACCTGGCATAAGGTTCTAGTAGTGACTTCTACAAACGTATTGCTAGTATGCTAAAGATACGAGTGGTTTTACTGGATACTAAAATAAGATAACTACTAAAAAAAAAAGTCAAAAATATTCGACGTTTTTAGTTATAGGCACTCTGTACTTCTTATTTGGACCAACCCATTTTTATGGGTTTTAGATAAAATCAAGACCAGTCTTTAAATTTTAAATGTGAAATCCTTGTGATAGTTGTTTTCATTATCTAGTGTAACTTCAAAAACTATAGTGGATTTTTGCATTAAGCTTTTTAAACAAGTCATTCGCGTATAAGTATTTTAACCAATAGTGTATCTCTAGTTAGTTTTGCTTTTCTTTTGAAAAAAATATTTGATTTATGAAATTATTAACTAGTATAACTAAAAAAAAGGGATAATAATAATATTTACCATCAACTTTGGCAGACATATTGTCCAAGCTCTTAATACACCAGTTGGTAAACTCATTTTCATACTCATGAACCTTGCTTACTGAGGGATCTGCTTGCCCCTTGAATTGTGGCTTTCGATCTTTATCCTTTTCCTCAGTTGAAGCTGCAACTGTTTTCTTATTTGGTTTCACTTTCTCGGATTGATTTTGTGGTTTAATAGCAGGCAATGTTTGACATTTTCGGAGATTTCGTGGCGATGTTTGGGGGTTCGTGTTAGATCTATTCTGTGTCTGTAGAATTGACGAAGACCTGGGGGCGGTGGACGCTGCAGTGGAAGAAGCTCCTCCTCCTCCATAATATGAATTCTGATGATGATTACCTAATGTCTCATCCCATAAACCAGAAGAACCAGAAAGAGTCAGTGGAGAGGCACCACTCCATGCCTTATTGACATTACCCCAAATGTTGGACATCGTGGAGCCTCCTCCTCCGGACGCTGCTGAAGATGCTCCTCCCGGTAATGATCCAGTACCAAGATGCTGCTGAAGCTCTATATCCCTTCGAAGCTCACTCGTTAATCGCTTGGCTTCTTCCGCTTGAATCTCCGCTAGACTCATAACTGGCATGGGAGTTGATGCCACCGATTGCCATTTAAGGAGAACATCGTTGGCTTCAGCTTGAGCTGCTGCATTGGCACGGGATCGCTTGTCAAGTTGCTCCTGATGACGCTGTTGGTCAGCCCGGCGCTCGCGACGCTCTGCTTTTTGGATCTCAGCCAGACCGGGGGCAACGGTGCTATTAGAATTCGATGATCGCGCGAGTGACCAAGGCGCTAAGGATGTGGCTGGTAAACGGACAGAGGATCTCTGTGGCTCTTGTGACTGGTCTCCGGTGGTTTTTAAGCATAAATCCTTCGTAGATTGAGGTTGAGCATTGTTATTGCTACCTAACAGAGCTTTACGACGTTGGGCTTGTATTTGTTGTTGTCTCTCCTTTTCCTCTTGCACTTGTCGGGCTCTTTCTTCCGCATCTTGAAGGGCCCTACGCTTTTCCTCTTCTAGTTGTTGTCGCTTACGCTCCTCTTTTTGGCGTCGCTTTTCCTCTGTCTGCTCTCTTCGTCGTTGATCCTCATCGTTGACTTGCTTTTGTTGTTGTCTGATATTTGAATTTAATTTGTTATTAGTTGATGGCTTATACTCCTTTGTTTTATATGGTTCATTCAATGATTTAATTACATCTTCGTGATGTACATCTGTTACAACGTGGGGTTCCTGGGGTTCTTCCAAGGATCTCTGTTCATTCTTCAGGTCTTCCTCAGGAAGTTTTTTGTCCACAAAACTACTACTTGGTTGTTGCTGCTCTTTTTGCATCATTAGTTGCTGCTGCTGTTGACTCTGTTCCTCTTCCAAAGTAGCCACATCCCATAGCGTTCCTTTTGGCCATTGCGAAGAGGTGTTTGTAGGCTTCACTGACTGGGGAGGCAGCCACATGGGTATCATTAAGTTTTGAGCAGTTAACATTTGTGTTTCTTCCACCGAAGAATGAAGTTGCTGAGGAGATTCTGCTGCAACTGTTGGCTGCTGACCGTTGCCACGTAATAACATTCGCAAATTATACTCATTTAACAAATCCAAATCATTTCTTGGCGGCAAGTCTTCAGGTTTGGGGGTTATTAACTGCTGCTGCTGCTGTTGTTGCATTAGTTGTGCATTCAATATAAAGTTATTAGCATCTAATAGATTATTACCAACTATTGACCGTTGTTGAACACTATGTTGATCCTTTTTACTCTGCTCTGCCACCAAATTAAATAGTTCTCTACCTGCCATTGGATTTATGACGGACAAAGTGTTACCTAAGCCATTTAAACTAGTTAAATAATCGGGAAGAGCAATTAATTGTACTTTTCGGCGTACTATAGCTTCACGTTCAATAGCCGAAAGCCGCTGGAAACAATCGTTTTTCGTCAATTCCGCAAGTATTTGGTATTCTTGATGCTGAACATATTGATCTTGCAGCATTTGGAACCGCATCGATAGCAATTGTGATGTATTACCCATTAAATTTCCCTTAATGGCCAAGGTAAGAGCTTCAGCGGCGGCCGTTGCATTGGCTTTAAGGGGCTCATCATTTGGATGTTTACGTGAAAGCAAGGGAATTATGGGCAGTGCAGCGGTTGACAGTGCAACAGTTGGAAGCGTAGCGGCTGTTGGAAGTAACTGTTGCTGAACTCCTCCCTCTAGTAAACGCTCCTGGTGATTTCCAACAGGAAGACTACCCCTTTCCAGTAACTGCTGCTGATTTCCACCTCGCAGGCCTCCTCCTTCCAGTAACGGCTTTTGATCACCTATTTCCATTTCCAATTCTAACGGTGATGGCAATAGGTGGCTGTGCGTAAAAGGCATATTTCCATGGCAAAATTTTATAAGTTCGCCCAACGGACGAAAACGATTGTCCGCAAAGCGACGAACGAATAAATTCTCATTAAAATAACCTGCACGATACCACTCTGTCATTTCTAAAGGGCTAAACGGTCCCTGGACGTTCGTTTGTGGGTCGCGATAGAACCACAAATCGTTAATGTTCGAATTCAAGGAATTCATCAAATGCGAATGATGTTGATGTAATGATGGTCCAGGCGAAAGGAGAGAGAAATGTTGCGGCGCTGGCTGCTGTTGCTGCTGATGTAATTGTTGCGGCTGGTGACGTTGCAGATGACTTAAATGAATCGGATCGGCAAACGGAGCATTTTGAAGTAAAGATGGAGCAGCCAATTCCTCGCCTGATGTTGCACTTTCATTAATTGCATTTGATTCCATTATAAGGTCAGCAGCTGCAAATCTCTGACTGTTGCTAGAGCTTAGATTGTTATCATCATCCATTATCAATTTCTCAACTTCAACAGCTACTTCCTTGATTCTATCAGAAATGTCTGTACCGTGCGTAGTTTTTGAATCTATTGCAGTTACATCACAGTTGTCTTTATTGGTCGTATTTAATTGTGCATCATTAGAGCAGTTTTCGTGAATTTTTTCATTTTCATTTTCACTACTTTGATCTTTTATAATTTTCGTTTCTATTTTAGCATCAGTCTTTTCTAATGCATTTTTTATCGGTTTATCCTTATTATCATGATCAGTTCCATGGAAAGCACCGCTGGCGTCAAAGCTCCCACCGACTTCAGATGGATTTTCCATTGCCCATTCCGGTAAATTATCTTCATTTACGGCTGCCTCAACACCAGGCCACATTTGAGCGCTCTTCACGCAGGATGTTGAAACGCGGGCAGAAGTGTGAACCGTTCCCATTCCCGATTGTTTCCTTTCACGATCAATGCTTAAAGTGCCCGCAGAGGAAATGGAACGATGCATCATAACATTTGTCTGTTGACTATCGACATTGGAGTCATCGTCACGCCAACTTGTTGATCTTCCTAAAAAAAAAAAAGAGGTATCAAAAAAATAAACTTCTACGATTTTTTTTGGTTTGCAGTTTAAGGTTATATGCTTTAAACTTTTAGTAATATTAAAAAATGAGCTCTTGCAAAAGCCTACCCCATCGATGACTGTTTGTACCAAAACTATTATTAGAATTTGCACCGCCGCCGCTTCGCCACCCGGTGGCCATATCTGAACCACTGCCAGTCACTACTGGACCATCCCCGGAACCATCTTCATTTCGAGTTCGTCGCCAGTTTTCCATGTTGCTGTTGCGATGATGACTGGCAAACTCCTTTCGCGGACTCGAGCTTGGCGTACCATTCCAGTCTAGAATGCCACCACCGCCTCCTCCTCCACCACTCATTGTTGTTGTCGAGGTGTTATTGGATATCGCCGAATCCCCAGTTCCATTCCGATCAATCCAATTACGTTCGACGGGCTGCTATATTAAAACCCATATTTTTAATGAATTGCTATTATTTACTCTATTATTTCCGGTATTACCTTGATATTCATTGCAGAAGTTGCTGTCGAATTTTCATCGAAAATCCCACTGGGACGTTGATATATTGGATGATATACAGATTTACCCCTCATTCGGCCTCGATCAACGGCTCCACCGCGTCCAGTTCCACGCGAGGAAGAGCCAAAGCCTCCTGAGGAACGCTGCAACCAAGCAGGTCGCGCCTGTAATCCAAATTACATCATTTATTTATAAAATTTTAACATAAAATCAAAACAAGAAAGGAAGCTAACTTCGGCTCGCCGAAGTTTATATACCCTTGCAGATATTATTTCATTACATTTTACCTATATTATTATGTTTACAGTTTGACAGTTACAGTTTTGCATTCCCAGATTTACATTTTCTCTACATCTACCGATCGCTTCTATGGCAGCTATATGATATAGTCGTCAGATTTTCAAAAAATTAAAACCGAAATTCTGAAATAATATAAAATGACAATATCTCAAAAATGATGCGAAAATGTTGAAAAACGGCTCATTTATAATTTTTTTTCTAAAAATGTATCGAACATTTGTATGGCAGCTATATTATATAGTCGTCCGATCCGGTCTGTTCCGACATATATAGCAGTGAGAGTATATAGAAGACTATATGCAAAGTTTTATTCAGATAGCTTTAAAACTGAGGGACTAGTTTGCGTAGAAACGGACAGACGGACAGACAGACGGACATACAGTGGTGCTCATAGACTTAAGCCACAAGACTTCATCCAAGAATTTTAACGAAAATTAAGAAAAGTTTTTATTCCACAGCTCCAATTATTTGTGTCACATTAGTTCTATATATCAGTGTTCTAATAAAAGAATAACCAAGTTATAAAAATATATATTCAACGAAAAATTAAAAAAATCTGAGACCAACCCCAAAAAGTCCTGCTCACATACTTAAGCCACCTGGAAGAAAATGATCCAAAAAGTTAAAATTTGCCCAATATTCCTTATAATTTTAATAAATTTAGTTTAATATTAAGTGGGATGACCTTTCTGATTACGAACAGCGGAGCAACGCTTTGGCATTAAGCCCACAAGACGTGCGCACTGTTGAGGGGTGATTTTCTTCAACTCTTCCTGCAAAATATGCCAAAATCTTTTTTTTTTTTGCTGTTTTTTTTGGCCAACGACTTGTTTAAGAATACCCCACAAGTTCTCTATAGGGTTCAAGTCGGGGATCTGCGGTAGCCATTGCAAAACATTGATTGTCTCTTGGCTAAGCCACGACTTGACTATCTTGCTGGTGTGTTTCGGGTCGTTGTCCTGTTGAAATATCCAGGCAAGTGGCAAATTATCGGCATATTCTCCAGATAAATTGTTAATAAGGATGTCCCTGTACATTTCGCCGTTCATAAATGCCTTCTATCTTCTTTTGGAGACCTACGCCCGATGCGGTGAAACAGCCCCAGACCATAATCGAAGCGCCACCATGTTTAACGATCTTTTTCGTGTATGTTTGATTGTTTGGAGCGACGAATCCAAGTTTAATGTCTTTGGGAGTGATGGTAAACCATATGTACAACGTCCTCCCAACAAACAATTGTACCCCAAATACACGAGAAAGACCGTTAAACATGGTGGCTCTTCGATTATGATCTGGGGCTGTTTCACCGCATCGGGCGTAGGTCTCCAAAAAGAAGATAGAAGGCATTATGAACGGCGAAATGTACAGGGACATCCTTATTAACAATTTATCTGGAGAATATGCCGATAATTTGCCACTTGCCTGGATATTTCAACAGGACAACGACCCGAAACACACCAGCAAGATAGTCAAGTCGTGGCTTAGCCAAGAGACAATCAATGTTTTGCAATGGCTACCGCAGATCCCCGACTTGAACCCTATAGAGAACGTGTGGGGTATTCTTAAACAAGTCGTTGGCCAAAAAAAACAGCAAAAAAAAAAAGATGTTGGCATATTTTGCAGGAAGAGTTGAAGAAAATCACCCCTCAACAGTGCGCACGTCTTGTGGGCTTAATGCCAAAGCGTTGCTCCGCTGTTCTTAATCAGAAAGGTCATCCCACTTAATATTAAACTAAATTTATTAAAATTATAAGGAATATTGGGCAAATTTTAACTTTTTGGATCATTTTCTTCCAGGTGGCTTAAGTATGTGAGCAGGACATTTTGGGGTTGGTCTCAGATTTTTTTAATTTTTCGTTGAATATATATTTTTATAACTTGGTTATTCTTTTATTAGAACATTGATATATAGAACTAATGTGACACAAATAATTGGAGCTGTGGAATAAAAACTTTTCTTAATTTTCGTTAAAATTCTTGGTTGAAGTCTTGTGGCTTAAGTCTATGAGCACCACTGTATCTAGATCGACTCGGCTGTTGATGCTAATCAAGAATATATATACTTTATAAGGTCGGAAACGTCTCCTTCACTGCGTTGCAAACTTCTGACTGAAATTATAATACCCTGCAAGGGTATAATAAAAGCAATAACTTACGCTATTTCCTATAGGATTTGGATTATTATCCTCTTCAGAGCTCGGCGTTAATGCTAATGGATATTGTACTTTTTCCACAAACAACTTTTTAAATGATGGCAAAATTTGCGGCAACAAACAGTTGCGATCAAAAAGGGACAACATCTCCTCGCGGCCATAACGGTATTCAGGAAACAAGAAATTACGCGAAGCTGAGGCAGATGTCGCAGCATTGACACCGCCAGCAGCATTTACGCTGTATGTGGTGCTTGTGGAGCCGCCGGAAGGCTCAGCTGACATATTGCGCAACCATTCTGGCCCAAATTTCATTGAATCTGTCATGGTTTGACTTCGATCTTTAGCTGGTTCAATATTTTTCGTTGGCTGACGCTTAATTCGATGGGAATAAATAAAAAAAAGTTAATGTTAGGGTGATAAATTGTTTGGTGATAAATTCTAAAATTAAAAACAAATAAATTAAATGGAAAAATAGCAAGTGCAAAAGTGCGAAATTTTTAAAGTTTGGGGAAAATGAAACATTCATCTTAAGCAAATTGCATGTACTATGTACATACATACATATGTACATAAACATATGTATATATATGTATGCCTCAATTAAAACTATGGATGTCTGAAAAAAAAAAACACTAATTAAAAGGACCTCCAATTTAGATTTATAAAGAATTTACACAAAATTATTTGTTAGGTGTGTATTAAATAGGCAATAAACAAAGGTCTTTGGAGTAAAATAAATCGAAAAATAGCAAACATAACCTTAAATAACACCATACAATACTAACGAAATCTACACATGTAACACACACACACACGCATTTAAAATTTATATTGTGAAATTCACACCCGTAAACTTATCCGAAATGGCTATTTAAACAACTATATCTTCCGTTTCTTTTTTTACAAATATTTACTGATCAAACCTAAATGGTATAACCAAATTAAAATTCAATAAATATGGTGCAACATATACAAACACATACATATATACGTTTTTCCGCTTTTAAAATAAAAGTTATTAGGTATAACGCATAACATAGACTATCAAGTTATGTATTATAATATTTACTGGTCTAAATTAATTTAAAAAAATATATTTAATGCCTACTTACACGTACCACAAATGTATTTTAAAGCAAAAATATAATTTACGACTAATATTTCAGTGCGACCATTATTGGAACACCACAACATACCAAAATATTATTTTATACCAGGATTCCACTACTCAAACTTTCATTTACGTTTGTTGTGAGGCAAATCCAAGTTACAGGGTCTTCCCACAGAACTCACATCTGCATCCCCCGTCAGTTCATAATTGATGGATGGGTGGTTCATAAGGTTTTGCCGTTCCGAAATTCCTTACTTTGTACCGCATCCGGTATGCATCCAAATTTGACGACCTTCTGTTAACAAAAGTAAGAGAATAGTTATTCGGTGCAACTATGGTTTAAATATCTTAATTGTGAAATTTTGACCTTTCAGTACGAAAATGTTAACAAAGATGTAGATATTATAACTTTTAGGAGCCATGCACGCTCTTCGAGGCATTTGCTCTTGGTTACAGAAAAATATTTCAGAAATTCAAATTTCTCGTCAATTAATTAGTTTTAAGTTTGTCAGAATAAAATCTGACACAGACTGTGGTTTTTCCGTTATTTTTTTATTAGTATTATAAAAAAAAATTAATTATTAATTAAAAATAATATTATTAATTATTAAATATATTCTAAAAATGTTATTTGCAATTAAATTAAATTGGTGCAAAGTCAATCAATCGATATTTAATTTGCTCGGTAACCAGTGTGACCAACAAAATTAATGAAAAGCCATAAAACGCCATGAAAAGGGTAATACTGAAAAGCTGTTTGTTGTTTGTAAACAAATAAAGATGAATTCAAACGGATTGGATTTTGGTATTTCGCCGCTAATACTGTCTGAAACTCGTGTTCCCACAGAGCTACGATAAAGCACAGTTGTGGCTCATGAAAACGTAAACAAAGACTGTCGAATTGGCAAGTGCAAATTTGAAATGGAGCATTTACCAATTTATTTTGGCTGTTATACAACCGGAAAAGCACAGATTGCGTCAGAATTTATCCGCACTAAATTTAAATGAATTAAATGACAAGGAATTTTAGTTTTTCTAATGATTTTTCCCTAACAAAGAGCAAATTCCCCGATGAGTGTCTATAGGTGGAAAAGGCATCCAAAATCTTTAAAATAAGGTAGAGGCAGGCGGTATATATTAAAAAGTAAAAATTGGGTCCATTTGAGAAAATTCGCGGTCCATTTGAGAAAATTCGGAACGGCAAAACCTTATAGACCGTTTGTTCAACGGACGGTAGATGCGCTTTGACGGTGTGTGGGAAGACCCTATTAAGTCCCGTATTATGAGCTTCCCCTTGACCTCACTATTCAATGTCACTTTCTCTTCGCGGGCAGAATGGTTTTCGGTCCTATAAATATTTTTTATTCCTTCAACTCTCCCTCCATTAGGGGTATACGAATAAATCAAATGAATTCTTTTTACAGCACGATATCAGCTGTTTACTATCTTGATCTGGCAACGCCATTCAAATTGAACAGCCATTATTTTCGTCGTCAGAGTACCGGCAAAATCGACGAGGCACAAATTTCTTCTTCTTCTTTTTTTCACACATTTTTTTTATATGGAGTTTGGACGGATTTTCGTCGTCACAGTACTAAGCTTAATATATTTTAGGCATTTTATCTATCACTCGCCATTCAAACGGAAAAATGCTACGAAGTATTTAAGTGTGAAGATGGCATCTGTTTTCAAAAAGCTAAGAAAAAACTAACTCCCGTGGTAAAATAGCTAAATTGGCAACGCTAAATACACACGTGTAAAACGTAAAGAAATTTAATCACATTAATCATGCTCAAACAAAATATATTCTCTTTTGTCGTGACATTCACTGTTGTCACTTAGCATCATATTTGGTAAGCACGATTAAACTATATCTTCATCATCTTGTCTCATCTTCGTGTTTTTTTTATAGATATGTTGGGTGCCGGTCGCAGGAATAATTCCGGCCATAATTGCTTGGAGGTGATGAGCAATGGAAATGTCCGAAGAAATATCTAGAATAAGCTTTAATGATTAATTGTTTTTTCGTTATATGTATTATATATGTTTATTGTTTTTCTTTATATGTATTATGTAAATATGTATGTAAATATGAAGTGTAAAAAATACACTGCCGCTCACTTGAATAGCCCACCCAAAACATTCATATTAAAACCCCAAAAACTCACAAATTAAAAATTTCAAAAAATAGTCTTGGGTATTTATTGAACTATGTTTATATATGTAATAAAAATAATACAAATGAATACTGGTTGTCCAACAAGAATAACAAAAAAGAAAAATAATTTCAAAACGTAACAAAATTTTAACTGAAAATTTGTTCATATATCTCTGCTTCTTCATCGCAGAGATCGAAGCCTCCCTGGGTGTTTAATCTTGCTCATCAGCTCCCGAAAATTACATTGAGAACCATTTAGGTACGGCGGTATGGTCCTTAGGCTCTTGACGAGCTGCGGCGGTATGGTCATCAGGCTCTTGACGAGCTGCGGCGGTATGGTCCTCAGGCTCTTGACGAGCTGCGGCGGTATGGTCCTCAGGCTCTTGACGAGCTGCGGCGGTATGGTTCTCATGGAAATAAATTATGGAAACAAGAATGGCCGTAATTATCATCGCGACCAGAATCCAATATATCTATAAAACAAGGAAGCTAACTTCGGCACCCCGAAGTCTGTATACCCTTGCAGATTGGTTTTGATGTTTATATTATGCTGAAAACACTCACAAAACAGAGTTTCATTACATTTTACCTATACTTATTATGTTCACAGTTTGACAGTTACAGTTTTACACTCCCAGCTTTATATATTTTATACATTTACCGATCGCTTCTATGGCAGCTATAAGATATAGTTGTCCGATTTTTATGAAATTTTTACCAAAATTCTTATATCTCAGAGTAAATAAAAATGCGTTGAAAAACAACGAAGCTATAATTTTATTTCTATTAATTTCCCGATCGTTCTTATGGCAGCTATATCATTCGTCCGATTTTTATAAAATTAAAACCAAAATTCTGAAATAATATAAAATGGCCATATCTAACAAGTTATGAAAAAATGTTTAAAAACAGCAAAGTTATAATTTTTTTTCTAAAAATGTATCGAACATCTGTTATGGCAGCTATATGATAAAGTCGTCCGATCCGGCCCGTTCCGGCATATATAGCAGTGAGAGTATATATAAGACTATATGAAAAGTTTCATTCAGATAGCTTTAAAACTGACTAGTTTGCGTAGAAACAGACAGACAGACAGACGGACAAACGGACATGGCTAGATCGACTTTTGTATAAGGTTGTCAAAAAAGTCTTACGATATTTTTATAGAATTTTCAATTGTTTTCCATCCAGTCACCATCCGCTTCGCATGCATCCATACGGTCAAAAATATTTTTATTGCGTCAAGTCGTGTGGCACCCATACATCGAGCTTCTTTTTGAATCCAAGCATCTTCAAATGGTTTTTAACGGTTTGATGACTCATGCCCAGCTCTTGGCCGATGCTACGGCTGCTACAATGCCGGTCTCTTTCGATCAATTCAGCGATTTTATCGCAATTTTCGACGACAGGCCTTCCGGAGCGTGGCGCTTCTTCGAATACCTCTGCACCAGAACGAAAACGTTGAAACTATCTTTATTGGCAGCATGAAATGCACTTTTGCCATTACCGTAGTAGTACTGTAAAATATGACTATTTTCTCTTTATTTTGCTTCATGTTTGCGGCGCTATAACTTACGAACGACTAAAAACAAACAACCATAAATAAAACTAATGTTAGCGCGTGGAAAGAGCTTTCCAAAAAGGTCTAGTGTAAACCGATGCGACGAATAAAACTAGAACTACGCGCTTGCAAAGACACCTAGCGAAAATAGCGCAAGACTTTTTTGACAACCTTATATATGAATTTAATCTCTTAATATCTTTTGTATCCACTTACTTTTTCCCTCGTTATCCATTTTTAAGTAACCACCGGAACACCGAAACCACCAAAATTCGAATATTTCTGTCGAAAAAAAAGAGAAAATAAGTAAATATTAAATTTTCCGTATCCAATCGAAGTAGTAATACATCGCGTGATAGTCTGAAAAATATCGAAGACGGGAACCGGCGGCACACTATCGATACTATCGGAAGTTCCATCGATTTTTTTGCAGCTCTACAGGATTATTATTTATTATTTTCCCGCTCTAGTTGTTTGATAGCCGGCAATGTTAAATGTAATGGAATTTCTGGTGCGCATTAAACAAATGATTTAAACATACATTCGCTTATATATAAATATATTGACTTGGCTACTGTTGATATACATTAAATTGTTTATGTTTTAAACTCAATGTCACTGAATGAGTATAACAAAAGGCGTGGACTGTGGATCTTAAAGAATGTGTACCTGGCGCTATCCCGAAGTTTTCCTGGTGTACATACAATACATACATACGTAAATTTTGGTTAACCACTAAAAAAAAAAACATGTTTATTGACGGAGTTTTATTACTTGCGTGAAAACCAAATAAAAGTTATAAAGTGAATGTCTTAATTCGAATAAACATTTATGTTTGGGTGTATATGATTGATATGTATACATTTGATTCAGGAAGGGGCAGCGGCAAAAAATAAGTTACAAGGGGTGACTGACATACAAAATTTGTAAGTTTAGGGGTTGGTTATGATGAGCGCGGTGTATTCCAGTACGGTTCGCGTGAATGGTAGTGACGTATCTATAAAAGTACATAAATGTCAAAATTTTGGATAGCGGAAAGTTATTATTTGCCCAAAGTGTTCATCATGACCCGAATGCAAACTGTCCTCTCTTATTGTCCGGTGGAGAGGTTCGTCAGTGCCAAAACACACACACACATGTATGTACACACATATGTATGTACATACATAATACCGTGCAGTACCACAGTTCATCAGTATTTCATCAACAATTCATCGATGAAATGCTGTTGATGACAGCCTATGACATGCCCATGTTAAATTCATCAATAGTTTGTATGGCGATTCATCGATGAATCATCAACAAAACGTCGGCTATTGATGAAACGTTGACGAAATGTACATATACCATATATACGTATAGCTCTTTAATAAACATTTGTATGTACAACAAAAACTTACTTTACTAATTTTTCCGTTTATTTATCGCAGAAAATCAATGAAGGAACCCAAAACATAATTAGGATTTTTACTGAAAAATGTGGCTGAATACACTAACGTCTAACCAAAATAAGGTGGATTGAACTTAGCATCTATTCTTATTTCATCACTTTCGAATAACAGGATCTGGAACATTAAAAACGAGAAGTAGAGTCTAAGTCGTTTTAAAGGTTTTGAACGATATTAATATAAAAATGAATCCTGTACATCAACTTATGGCTGAACAACAGCCAAAAGTTCATCATACATCATCTATTGTGCCAATATCCTTATCAGAGGATCCACGAACATTGCAATTGGCATTGGAATTATCATTGGTGGGCTTAAATGACAATCAGGCATGCTATGTCCAACAGCAGTCTGTTCAACCTTTGGCTTCTGTACAAAGTGACTACGAAATGGCCAATATAAATTCGAAAACGGATAATAGTAATATGGCTTTAACATCGTCATCTAGCAGCTGCTTTTTATTGCCCACAGTAACGGGAACCGGTACCGGTATGGTACCTCTAGAAGATCGTTCCAAGAAATCACAAAACATGACTGAATGTGTTCCAGTGCCCAGTTCAGAGCATGTGGCCGAAATAGTCGGTAGGCAAGGTAAGTAATCTCTGATAATTTTTAAATTATTTAAGAATGTATTTCCCTACACCCTTTATCGACAGATTGTACTCACTGCTCGACAAAAAAAAAAAGCGTTGAGAGCAATAAAATCGATATGTATTATAAACGATTTGTTTTGTTCTAAAGTATCTTAATAATATAACAAGAAAGGAGGCTAACTTCGGAACGCTATAGTTTGTATACCCTTGCAGATATTATTTTATTACATTTTACATATACTTATTATGTTTACAGTTTGACAGTTACAGTTGTGCATTCCCAGCTTTACATTTTCTCTACGTCTACCGATCTTTTATATGGCAGCTATATGATAAAGTTGTCAGATTGTCATGAAATTAAAACCGAAAATCTGAAATAATATAAAATGGCCACACCTCAATAATAATGCAAAAATGGTGAAAAAACGGCTGGGTTATAATTTTTTTTCTAAAAATTTGTCGAATATTTTTATGGCAGCTATATGATATAGTCGTTCGATCCGACCCTTTCCGACATATATAGCAGTGAGAGCATATAGAAGACTATATGCATAGTTTCATTCAGATAGCTTTAAAACTGAGGGACTAGTTTGCGAAAAACCGGACAGACGGACATGGCTAGATCGACTCTGCTGTTGATGCTGATCAAGAATATATATACTTTATAGGGTTGGAAAGGTCTCCTTCACTGCGTTGCAAACTTCTGACTGAAATTATAATACCCTGCAAGGGTATAAATATGTAATACACAGTGTGTACAAATATATTAACGAACAGACCAGCAAATAAAATACAGGCAAATACACGGACAAATCAAATCAACTCCGATGTCGATGTTGATTAATGAAAATCGGAGGACTTTATCATATATGAAGCTACCATAGAAATGATCAGTGGATGTACAGAAAAATACAAAGTAGCGAGTGTAAAACTGTATCTGTCAAACTATAAATATAAGTATAGGTAAAATGTAATGAAACTTGTTTTGTGTGGGTTTTCAGCATTTACATTTTTTAATGTTTATTATATTAGATATTTCAAATCTAAAATATAGTTTTTTTATAGTCGATTAAACTTTTTTTTATCAAAACAAAATTATTATTTCCTGTCTAAAAAACAGCTTTTAAATATTTCCTTTTAATGTTTTTCTCTTAATTTGACCAGAGTGGATCGATTCTTTATGATCCAATTGCAAACTGCAAGGGTATACAAACTTCGGCGTGCCGAAGCTAACTTTCTTTTTTGTTTTGTCTTAAACTAACTAAACGACTGCTTTACTGACAAGAGAAATACTTAAATGCCGAATTCCTATTCCTTAGGTTGCAAAATAAAGGCGTTAAGGGCTAAAACTAACACATATATTAAGACGCCAGTTCGCGGCGAGGAACCAGTATTCGTAGTGACCGGTCGCAAGGAGGACGTAAGTAAGGCGAAGCGTGAAATACTCTCAGCTGCTGATCATTTCAGCTTAATACGCGCATCAAGGAAGCCTTTGACAACAGATGCCCATACAAGCAGCGGAGGCGGCGGAGTTGCAGTTGGCGGATGTGTGAATGGGTCCGGTTCCGGTTCCTCTTCCAGTTCCGGTATCGGTGCTGTACCTCGCCTCCAATCCGGTCCACCGTGCTTGCCCGGCCAGATAACGATACAGGTACGTGTACCTTACAGAGTAGTGGGTCTTGTTGTTGGCCCCAAAGGTGCCACAATAAAGCACATTCAACAAGAGACTCAGACTTACATAGTGACACCATCACGGGAAAAGGAACCGATCTTCGAAGTAACCGGCTTGCCAGATAATGTCAATTCGGCGCGAAAGCAGATCGAAGCACACATTGCCCTCCGGACTGGTGTCGGATTAGGAACGGGAACCGGATCTAGTTCATATCCAGTGTTGGGTAGTGAATCGTCATCGGCCGCGGAATCGAATAGTTTTATCAATTCGAATACTATGAACTCATTAACACAAATATTAAACGATGATTTAAATACCGAACTATTAACATCCATATACAAGAACGTACATCAGGATTATGCACACAATTCAATTCATCAAATGAAGCCAATAATTCAAAACTATCAACTCAACGATTGCTACAAGAAACAAGAGGATATTTCGGATACTGAACTAATGTCGCCTACACTAACGGCTTCGGGAATTTCAGCTGGGAAACATAATCAGCTAATGGGAAATGAAACAAAGGCTGAAAACTGTGTATTTCGGAATACAAGTAAAGCCTTGCCTACTTCAATATTAGCTACATCCACATCAAATCATGCAAACCCCAATACGAACAACATACTAACCAGGTCGTGTTCGTCAGCATCATCGACAACTTCTACAAAAAGTACTAATAACAGTACAAATGCCAATACGCCACCAGAGATTTTAAATATATGGAAAAATCTAAATGATTCTATTGATGTGGATGAGGGAATCGGAGACTCGCCAAGCATTTGGAGTCAGTCGGCGAATATCGTATTATCCACAGATCATCATCACCAGTGTTCACCCGCAAACTCTGTAAGTCCCACAGATTCACTCTTAGAGCAGCAAACAATTGTACATCATACATTAAGGGAACCGAACCAGCAGCAAAAAACACAAGCCCAGGCACAAGCTCAAGCACAAGCACAGGTTGCCATTCAACCAGTGCAATCGGGCAGCACCGACAAGTTTGTAATACATCGCGAGTGCTGTGTGTGCAATGAGAATCAAGTGACTACTGCTTTAGTGCCCTGCGGTCACAATATGTTCTGCATGGAATGTGCTAATCAAATTTGTGCTTCCTTGGAAGCAGTCTGCCCCATTTGTAATTCAATAGTTTATCATGCAATGCGTATATTGGGCTAACTTTTCAATTCAAAGAAATTAAATATAGATATGTAGGTGTTATCAAGAGCTACAGGAATGGAAAATGATATTTTTAACTTGAGAGCTGTGGAAACATCGATATCTAGAGGCAGAGTAATATCGATGCGAACATCGGTATATTGATGTTTTTAAAAATTTTTGTAAACGATAATCATTAGATGCTTAGATCATTTTGTTTAATAAAGTTAAAATTTCGGTTTATCTTTATATGAAACATAAATTTTGTATATATTTGTTTTTAACTTAAAATTTGCTACGAAAATACGTAGACATTGTTTACAGTTTATTTTAATGCGAAATAAAATTGTTTCTAATTTTTTGGAAACATCGATGTTTTATCGATAGTATCGATAGTACGCCCAATGTTTTTACAGTTCTAAAAATAATCCATTAACCGGCTTTGATGCGAATATATAACATACTGTTGAAATTGCTTTTTGAAATTTCTCTAAAAGGTTAGGTTAGGCTAGGTTAACCTATATATAAATATTTTTTTATTTTTCTTCGTTTTATGTGTTAGGATTTTTTTTTTTTTTTTTTGCAAAAGTTGCATATATGCACACATATTTAATGGTGTTTCAAATTTGAAGTATATTAATTACTTTCCATTATCTATTGATAATGGAAGCAATAGTATTCTACGTTAGTGCCAACAGAAAATGATGTAACAGACAGAAGGGGGCATTTCAGCCACTACAAATCATGAAACGCCGTTACTAAGGTGTAATATTAATCTTTAGTTTCTGCTCGTTTTATTTTTTCTTTTAAGTAAAAGCGGTTAATAAACATGTGAGTTATAAGACGATAAAGTTTCTGCGTATGTTGAATTTCTTCAACTTCTACCAATACGTGTTGCTCAGACATGAATAATCCTTGGTCAGTATATTAAGAGGTTACACCACTCTAAATATTTGTTTTTTTGATTAGAATTTTGGTTTTTTATTTTTCTAAAAATGTTTTAAGCGTAAAATTTCCCAATTCAGACTGCTTTTAAAGTTTTATTAGTTTAAGGGCTTCTCCTACAGTGTTTCTTTTTTAAGCATTGTACTAAGATAAGAAAAACCCGCTGTAAAAATTCTTCTACCAGCAAAACTCCATATGAAAAAACGCAGCGAAGAGAGAAATAAGAATAACTTTCTCATCGCTAGTTTTCTCGGGTACTGACATACGATACATGTTGCGAGCGAAAAATGTAGTGATCAAACTATATAAATGTTGCGAGCAACATAACTAAACAGCTGTGATTTTGTTCCCGCGAAGAAAAAGTGGCTTTGATAAATGCAGTCTTTAATATGGTATTTGACCAACAAAGGGCATTTTAATTCACTTCAATTCGGTGTCACATTTTTCATACAGTTTCTTTAATTTCTTTGGTCTGACTGGTTCCCGAGCAAAATGTATAGCAATTACGCATTTTTATTTTTAATTTGAATTTTGAGCACATCTTAAGTTAATTTATATTAAATGAAAAATTTGTTAACAAGTTTACTAGGCAATTTTCAATTTACAAAATAACTTTTTTGTTTTTGCAAGAACATATGTATGTATCAGAAATCGGCACCGGTGCCTGATGGAAGCACCACAAGTATACTTGCTTAAAATGCAGTGCAGATGTTACCAACAATACAGAATATGCTTTTGCGATATTTTACCACCACAATGTTTGTGAGTGGGGCACAGAAAACGTACAAAAATATTCGGTGCAAAAGGCTTACTCAAAAATGTACTCTGTTGCTTTTATGCGCAACATTCTCAATTTAAAAGTTTTGTGAGGAACGTTTGGGATTTTTAAAAAAAGTGAAACTCGTGTTCCCACACTCCGTCAAAGCGCATTCACCATCCGAACAGCTGATCGATCAGCTTTGGCTCATGAAAACGTAAACAAAGACTGTCGAATTGGCAGTTGCAAATTTGAAATGGAGCATTTACCAACTATTTTGGCTGTTGTACATTATATAAAATAGTAACAATTGGGGACATATTGGGGCAAGAATATACAGAAAAAACGCCAACAACTATTACGGGCATGCTTGTAGCTTTGGCGCCACATTTTAAATTCCATATCTCATTTGCTCCTCGCCAAGTGTGTAAACACTTTCGTAGTGATGGTCAAATTTTCAGAGTTGCACCGTAAAACTATCGCCTAACTATCGCCAAACAAACCGTTGTTAGATTTTAATGTGTTCTAATGGCGGTCCATTTGGGAAAATTCGGAACGGCAAAACCTTATGGACCGTTTGTTCAACGGACGGTGAATGCGCTTTGACGGTGTGTGGGAAAACCCTATAAGGCACGAGCTTACAAAATATATTTTGTGTATGTGGTGTACTTGTAGTTGGGGTGTACTAATGCAGATCTCTGGTATGTACATATTTTCGATTTTTTGTTAGGCTCTAGCATTATATTTGGTCGTGTTCTTATATCCTATCTTGCGATTTGACATGGACTTAAAAAAAAGCTCAAAATCTTTACATCAAAATAAAAAAAAAAAAATTAAAAATTTTATGCCCAATGGTTTTCAAATGTTTACAATTTTTACAATTTTGTGCCTTCTTTTTTTCTGAGAACTACACAATATATGCTTTTTAACTCGTATATATGAGTTCAGGAAAAAAAACTTTATTTAAACATTTCTTTCAAATATTAACTTTATTTCTAGTACAATTTTTAAACTGCATAATAAGGCGTTTGAATTAAAATTAAGAATAATAATATTACATGTAATAACATATAATTCTAAAAAAAAAAAAAAATTCAAAAAAAAAAAAAAATTGACTGATAAATTAGCAATAATTTTAAGACACCAGCATACATAAATCAATACCTACCTATCAATACCTACACAAAATATATGTATGTATACATATACATACAAGTATATATATGAATATATATATATATAAAGCTTACGATTCATGTGAATAAAAAGACTTATACATTTATAGTCAATCATACTTAATATTTATAATACAATAATGTATAATGCATAGAATGTTAAAAAACGCTAAGTATATTGATTTCCTTAAGGTTTACGTTACAATCTGTGTTATTTATTATGTTCATTATCAATGGATTATTATTAACGAATCTAGTCAAAAAATGCAATAGAGGCTGGAAAAAACATGTATATTTTTTAATTGTATTTTATTTAAAACAATCGAATTAAGATATCGAAAAATTCAAAACCGAGTGAGAGACTAATAACTTAATCGCACAAACGATAAATATATATAAAATTGTTTCATAAATCATACATACCTAGACAAATTTTATTTAAATACAAAAATATATATAAACAAAATAAATATTTATTATACTTAAAATATATATAACTGTAGTATTACATTAGTCTTAAAACAAAGATATTCCCTAATAGGTAAAAATAGGAATTGTAAGACGTAAAAATGATGTTCTTATATACATACATATATAAAGAAATAGACAGTAAACACTACGTTTCTGCATATGTATACCTATATGAAGAATCATATTTGTAAAACAAAAAAATATCGAAGATCAAATTCAATTTTTATTTTATTTTCATTTAACTTTTCATTGAAATAAAAAATACACAATGAGTACCCATTGATTTAGCTATTTTTGAGAATAACTTATTTAAGGCTCCTTAAAAATAATTATTTCAGCATAATTTTAAGAGGTGTACTTTGATTGAAAAACATGACCAAAAGCTGCTAAAGAACCCCCAGTAATATTTATTATAAAAACTTGGACAATTTCTTTCATTTTTTTAAATTATATATTACTATATTTTTATTTATATTAAATATAATATAATATAATAAATATAATAATATTAAAATTTTTTTTTTGTAAATATTTTTCAACAATGTTGGTATACTCCTTTTTGAATCTTTAAAGGCTATAGTTAAATTTTTTTTGCGTTTTAGACCCAACCAAATTTAATTAATGTAATGTATTTCTATAGATACTTCAATTATCTTTAGGAATTTTTAAGTGTAAAAGCCCATTTACAATTACGTTATCGAAGGAAGTGAAAAACTCAGAGATATTGGTTTGACTGCGCTAAAACATACATTTCTTGAAGGGGAAATAAATTTACAATAATAAGCGGCAATTATTCGACGAATGGTTGCTATTAACAGCAAATAGAGCAACATAAGGTGACCATTGACCATTTGCATCTATCATTAAAGAGAAATGTGTTTTGCGCAAATTTAATTGATTTCACTCAAAAGCACGTCATGCATTATATGTGAGTTCCAGTAGTAATACGTTTTTTCTCACTTAAGTAAATTTAAGTAAAAATCGGAAAAATAATTATACAAGAAAGGAAGCTAACTTCGGCACGCCGAAGTTTGTATACCCTTGCAGATTGGTTTTGATGTTTATTTTATAGATTTAAATGCTGAAAACACTCACAAAACAGAGTTTCATTACATTTTACCTATACTTATTATGTTTACAGTTTGACAGTTACAGTTTTACATTCTCAGCTTTATATATTTTATACATTTACCGATCGCTTCTATGGCAGCTATAAGATATAGTTGTCCGATTTTTATGAAATTTATACCAAAATTCTAGAATAATAAAAAAAACGTATATCTCAGAGTAAATAAAAATGCGTTGAAAAACAACGAAGCTATAATTTTATTTCTATTAATTTCTCGATCGTTCCTATGGCAGCTATATCATATAGTCGTCCGATTTTCATAAAATTTTTACCAAAATTCTGGAATAATATAAAATGGCTATATCTCAAAAATGATGCAAAAATATTGAAAAACAGCCAAGTTATAATTTTTTTCTACAAATATATCGAACATTTGTATGGCAGCTATATGATATAGTCGTCCGATCCGGCCCGTTCCGACATATATAGCAGTGAGAGCATATAGAAGACTATATGCAAAGTTTCATTCAGATAGCTTTAAAACTGAGGGACTAGTTTGCGTAGAAACAGACAGACAGACAGACGGACAGACGGACAGACAGACAGACGACGGACAGACGGACAGACAGACAGACGGACAGACGGACATGGCTAGATCGACTCGGCTGTTGATGCTGATCAAGAATATATATACTTTATAGGGTCGGAAACGTCTCCTTCACTGCGTTGCAAACTTCTGACTGAAATTATAATACCCTGCAAGGGTATAAATATATAGCGATGGTGAAATTAAAAGATATCCATTATAATTTTGCGGTTTTTCAACATATTTCCCTTGTTTAATATGGTTTTTATACCCTTGCAGGGTATTATAATTTCAGTCAGAAGTTTGCAACGCAGTGAAGGAGACCTTTCCGACCCTATAAAGTATATATATTCTTGATCAGTATCAACAGCCGAGTCGATCTAGCCATGTCCGTCTGTCCGTCCGTCTGTCCGTCCGTCTGTCTGTCTGTCCGTCTGTCTGTCTGTCTGTTTCTACGCAAACTAGTCCCTCAGTTTTAAAGCTATCAGGTTGAAACTTTGCATATAGTCTTCTATATACTCTCACTGCTATATATGTCGGAACGGGCCGGATCGGACGACTATATCATATAGCTGCCATACAAATGTTCAATAAATTTTTAGAAAAAAATTATAACTTTTCTGTTTTTCAATAGTTTTGCACCATTTTTTAGATATGACCATTTTATATTATTTTTGAATTTTGGTAAAAATTTTATGAAAATCGGACGACTATATCATATAGCTGCCATAGGAACGATCCGGAAATTAATAGAAAAAAATTACAACTTCTTTGTTTTATAACGAATTTTTATCGTTTTTGAGATATGGTCATCTTGTATTAATTTCTAATTTCGTATTTAATTTAATGAAAATCAAATGACTATATCCTATAGCTGCCATAGGAACTATCTGAAAAATTTTAGAAAAAAAATTATAACTTTTTTTTTCAACGAATATTTATTTTCTTTTGTAGCCATTTTGTATTATTTCAAAATGTAATATTTAGTTTTATGAAAATCGGACGACTATATATTATAGCTGCCATAGGAACGATCGAAGAATTACAAGAAAAAAGTCTAACTTCGACAATTATCAACATATTTTCACATTCTTCGAGTATGGCATTTTTACGATTCTAAAATTTTAATATTGATATTATGAAAATTCCACAACTATATTTTATAACTTTCAAAGGAAATTGGGAATTTAAATTATATTATACTTATTTGCGCTTTGCGTTTTGATTTTTTTAATCTTCAAATGTTAGTTACATGCAAATAATTATGTTCTTTATTAAACTTGACTGCATAACTTTATTTTTTAAAGGGCGTATTAAAATTTTGAATATAAATTAATACTTTTTTAGTATTTCATATATGGGCTTCACATTTTTATACCCTTGCAGGGTATTATAATTTCAGTCAGAAGTTTGCAACGCAGTGAAGGAGACGTTTCCGACCCTATAAAGTATATATATTCTTGATCAGCATCAACAGCCGAGTCGATCTAGCCATGCCCGTCTGTCCGTCTGTCCGTCCGTCTGTCCGTCCGTCCGTCCGTCTGTCCGTTTCTACGCAAACTAGTCCCTCAGTTTTAAAGCTATCTGAATGAAACTTTGCATAGAGTCTTCTATATACTCTCACTGCTATATATGTCGGAACGGGCCGGATCGGACGACTATACATATAGCTGCCATACAAATGTTTGATACATTTTTAGAAAAAATATTATAACTTGGCTGTTTTTTAAGATTTTTGCATAATTTTTAAGATATGGCCATTTTATATTATTTCAGAATTTTGGTAAAAATTTTATGAAAATCGGACGCCTATATCTTATAGCTGCCATAGGAACGATCGAAAAATGAATAGGAAAAAAATTTTAACTT